AACTGATGTGCAACAATTCAGCCTATTTCCCTTCCATCTGCAAACACAATTTTTGGAACAACAGGAACACGGTCCATCAATCATGAGGCACACACTGACAGTAAATTATTACCCCATCCAGTGGAGAATTGAGGCAAATTGCTGGGCAGCCTGGAAGTAGTGCCCTCCACCCTAGATTTGTATGACATTAAAACAAGGGATTTATTTCCCCTCTGACAATCTGACACTTTTATGTGCAATAAAGAACCCTATGAATACATTTAGGAGAAAAAGAATAGTGTTCAGTATCTACTGGAAATAAAATTACTGGATTTCTACCACTTGGACAGCGGTAAGCGGAATAACAAATCTCTGAGCACTCTGTGATAAATAAAAATAATGAAGTAGAGAATGTATGCTAACCTAGCCTGTATGAAAATTTGATTCAAAGTATTAGTCATTAGTTATATTTATTTAGACTAAATACCACCGTGGATATTCAAAAAGAGCATGTAACCATGGTGACATATATTTTTAATGGTAGGAAAAAAGTTTGTTTCTTCAATGTTTCCGAATGCTTTATACAGCCAATTTTAATCTTTTTGTTTGTCAGCTCGTATTTGCAGATAGATATCCACCTGTTATTTATAACAGCTGTGCTAGTGGGAAGTTTTTTCTTCCTGTGCATAAGAATACAGAACATGTGCCCTTGTGAACTGCTTGGAGTTGCTCACAGTTCTGCTGCAAGGGAGCAGCAATGTTTGTCAGGACTGTGAAATGCCAGCCTCGCTAGCATGCTGAAGAGAGATGTCATGCTATCCTGTGCCAATGACCAGCTCAAAAAGGCTGCATTTTTCTCTTGGACTTACTTTCAGCTGGCACCTGTAACTCTTTCTTTATGCAAATAGGGCTCCACAGCTCCATCAGCAACAGCGGTGCCAAATCCATTATGATAAATGCACCATCCCATTTCCCAGAGTTCCAGCTTTACACTTTGTATTTAGTCCATCTCTCCAGGAACTGGTGAAGCAGACTCCTAGTTTGTGTTTTAAAAACGCTAGCGACAATATGAAGAAATATAAAGACAAGATGTTAACATCTGTATGTATTTCCTTGCCTAGCTTCTGCCGCCTCTTTTGGAAGTACAGCCTTCTGAGGACATTATGAGTCTCCTTCAGAAGCATGTGAGCTCTGAATCATGGAATGTGTACAGCTTACTCTTCCATGTAGATTTATTCTTTGTAGCAGAGTTGAACAGGAAAGTAGGGAAATTAAACAGGCTAAGTTCAGTGTTGCTTTGACTGGATTACTAACGATATTTCAGATACGATTTTTTAAAGGCAGCTTGGATATGAGTATTGCAATTGTTTGTGTAATTGAAGTGGAAAGCTATCTTAAGACACATCAGTATAAACACCTTTATTGGTGCCTTATTTTTATTGGGCTCTGATGAAGTTGTGTTACTTCCCCTTGCTGACACATGTTGCTAGTCTGGTGGTTTTTTTTTATCTCTTGAAGGGAGCCCTTGGGGTTTACTAGCTATCCCCAGTGTGAGACAAACAGCAGAAACATGACAGAACAAGGGTACTCCAGGTGCTTCAGTGGCAGTGAGGCTTATAGTGAATTCAGTAGCCCAGCCAGAATCTCTGAAGTTGTGCTTTTTTCCACCTTGTCCCAAGAGATTTACGCAGAAAAATTCTAAACCACAACAGCCTCTTTCTAATCAGTTACCTGTGCAGTTAATGAACGTGATGGATAATTTAAAAAACTAAGCCTTGCGAGGATGACAGATCAACGTTCTATTTCTTACCTAGCCAGGGTTCTGAACTCGCTTTGCAGGGAAGAGAACTTGCTAATCATTTCAAGACTGAAGGAACTCCAGTTATGATTGGTGAGTACTGGAGTATCACAGAATGCCAGTCAGTGTTCAAGGCCTTCCTCTGGTGAACTTCATTTCAATTAGTACTCAGAGTACTAAAAGTACTCCATTGGTACTAGTAGTTTACAAGAGCTTGTCAAAACCCCCAGTGAATTAAAATAACGTTCTTCTCCAGGGAGCCTAGAAAACCATGCAATTTAGTCTGCCTGGTATCTTTTTCATTCAGTATTTCCCTCAACAAAAATCAATCTGAATGGTGTTCTCAAAGGCTGCTTTTAAAGTCAGAACTTGAGAGAAGCTGACTTCTTTAGAAGTTCCATCTCAGTAGATGGGCAATTGATCATGCAGTTCCCCAGAATTTCCCTCCTCAGAAGAGTAGTATTTATCTGGCTTTAAGGAGAGAAGTATCATTCTTTATCCAAATTCATCATAGGACCAGTATGCGTATTTAAATAATCTAAAATGTTGGTGTCATTGCAAATATCATTCATAAGAACATCTTAATGAGAGTATTTCAAGAAAACCAGTAGTAAAAAAAATGAAAAATAGTTTTATTTATTACTACTACTTTTATTTCCAACTTGTGTATTTAGACAATCTCAGTGAAAAAAAATGAACAGTTTGTTTTCCTCCTGTGTTAGGTGGAGGTGTTTTGGCTCACACAATACTGGGAGTGGCGTGGAATGAAATAACAGGGCATATAAAATATTTGATTCTAGACCCACATTACACTGGAGGAGAAGACCTGCATGTTATTTTGGAAAAGGTGAGACTTCATGTACATGTGTACACACATCTATGAATGCATAGATGTTGTTATATAATGCATGGTCAATTAGAAATTGGCCATTCTGTAAGTTCTCCATAGAGAAGTGGGTTCCCATGGGAAGTGCAGATCCCAGTTAATCTGCATACATGTTAGCTATTGTTAGTTTCTGAAATGTAGTGGTCCTGGAGACAATGTATTGGGTCACTAACTGTGTAGAATTATTGCAGCACAAACAAATGTTCTCTGTCAGAGTATGTCTGTCCCTCCTTTGCATTGGAAACGCCTCATTTAATGACCTCCTATTCTGTAAACTTAAAAGCTTAGCTGGACTGATTTAGTAAATCATGATCAACAGCACACCTTGAATTAAGAGCTCAGTTTGGCTCTGATCAGTTTCTAAGGAAGGCAGAAGTTCTTCAAGAGAAGAGAAATTAGAACTGTGAGAATGACAGTGTTTCAGAACAGCATTAGTCTCTGCAGCAGCAGAAGGCAGTGGGATACAGAAAGAAGAGATGCTGCTTTTATTAAGATAGATCTTAGTTTAACAATGGATATGAAAGACAGAACTCATAGCAGATTTAAATTGTGTCTTTTCTTTTTCTTGGCCAGGGCTGGTGTGGTTGGAAGGGCCCGGACTTCTGGAGCAAGGATGCCTATTATAACCTGTGCCTACCTCAACGACCAAAAACTGTTTAAATCCCGGTCTTATGCAAGAACATGCTTAGCCAGAGTACTAGCAGGCCTAGAAGTAACTGTCTTTTTAGTTAGCAGACTAATATTTTAAATTGCTCAAAACCCAGCTGAAATAGAAATGTTACATATATAATTTAAATCAAGACATTTGTGTTGTTTTTTTTTTTTTATGAAACCTCAAAGAATAAGAGAGTTTTCTGCTGTGAATGCATTTTTTTTTACTAATTATTAAGTAACTACTACTCTGTCCTTCCTTTTGGCTAAGATAACTTTGTTTATATAACAATTTTATTATGCTTAAAAGCTTTAGAAGTTAAATGTCTGATCCTGTTATTTTATAGAATTCTTTCCTGCTGAAAAAAATTGTACTCTTACCTTTCATTTTCTGTAGAGCCAGGTGGATTTCACAGTATGAGTCTATTCAAAGCCATTCATTGCGCTCACTGTTGATAATGGTATTTTAGATGAGGATTAAGGAAAAAAAATAATTCTGTATGAACTGAATTTTATGAACTTTTGCTCTCATTTACACAGGAAAAGTATGAGAGACTTAATTATTATATGCTTATTTGTTTATAGCTGTATGAATACAAACATTGTAGGAAAACGCAAAACAGTGGTCTTCTGTTAGAAGTGAAAATAAATGAGTTTTCCTTCTCCTCAGAAGGAGACAATGTGACAGCAGCACACATCAAGCCATTCCATTCATTGTCCAGTCAAATTCTATCGGCCCTTGGATTCCCATTAATTTGACTTTGAGATTACAAGGCATTTCTTTTGTCAGCCAGGAGACCAAGACCTGTGGTATAAACAAACAAATGTTCTACTGTCATCAGTGCAGTAGGATACATTCGTGATACAAGTAAAACTGCCGTCTTTGTTAGCTTCTCCATCTGACAATCTCTGAGAATAACATGGAAAAAAAAATGTGGGGAGCCTTCTGAGTGCCATTCTACACAATACTCACTTTTGGCAGCAGCATAATCTTCAATACGTATGTATCTGCTGACAGCTTATGCAACACCAAATTTATTTATGTAACTGCTAAAATGGTGTTGGGTTTTTTGTTGTTGTTGTTTTTAAGTTACTACAGAGGAGTTTTTTCACTCAGAAGAGGGTGGTGACACACTGGAACAGGTTGCCCAAGGAGGCTGTGGGTGCCCCATCTCTGGAGGCATTCAAGGCCAGGCTGGATGTGGCTCTGGGCAGCCTGGTCTGGTGGTTGGCAACCCTGCATACAGCAGGGGGTTGAAAATTGATGATCTCTGTGGTCCTTTTCAACCCAGGCTATTCTATGATTCTGTGATTCTATGACTTGAACACACAGCATGCGGTGTGTATAACTCCAGCATGCAGGAGTACAGCAGTTTGTACCATGAGTACGTGCTGTGTATTTACAGCCTTAGCAGCCACACTGAAGTGGAAAAAATGCTCTGTAAATCACACATTCTCAGCAGGTTAACACTGACATGGCTAAATAGAGCTGAACTACCCAACTTCGGCACCACCAGGCTCAAGGAGAGCGAGGCATTGTAAGGTGCCAGATTTTGTTGCCGTATGAGTCGGGATTCTTCGAGGCAAAGCTAAACATACCAGCCAGCCCCACTCCCTTCCAACGTCGGGCCCGCGAGCAGCACCGCCCCGCCTTCCCCCGTAGGGCGCCCGGGGCGGGCAGTAACGGCGCCCGGGGCGGGGCGGGCCGCCATGGAAGTGCGCAGCGAGGCTGCATGCCTGCCGTCGGGTACGGGGTCGGGCAGGTTCCTTCGCGGAAGGCCTGGGACGGCTGCGTCTGTCCCTGTGCCCTTCCTTCGCCGTGTGGTGGTGTTTCCGCCTCTGTCAGTGCGCCATCGTGCAGGCACCCGCGTCATGCAGAGCACTCTGTTTCGTCTTCCTTTTGTTTTAGTTTGCTTACTGTCCCCTTCTTCTGGGGAAAAAAACAAAACCAAAAACGTGTGCTTATTTCTGAGCAGGGGACGACAGCCTTGCTGCCTCGCTGGCATGGAGAGCAGAAGATGGAGATCCCTGGACGTGCTTTCTAAGAGGACAGCGGTACTATGAAGAGGTTGGGGTTTTCCTTTTTTAAAGTCAGATGTTAAATGGCTACATTCAGTTTTAGGGGTAAATGACACCATAAAAAACAACAGGAGATGCCCGTGCCTGTTTTTCCCCATGGAAATCACCATGTTCCCACTCTTGCACAGCTGCCGCCCGAGCTGAGTCTTGGCCAGCTGAGTGAACAGCACCCGCTGTGCTTTGTGTTGTGGGGCAGTGGACTCGGTTCTGCCAGCAGTGCAGGAAGGGGCATCGGTTAGCCAGGCTTGTGGTTGGCAGCGGGAGCAGGTGGGCATCTTCCTCGTGTTCCATGCAGGTGCTACATGCTTTCATTATTGCCTTTGACAGGAGTAAAAGTGGCACCAAGGAGGGCAGGCTTGTGTGTTTCTTGAGCTGGCACAGATGTCCATGTTACAAACTGTTGTCCACCCTTCAATTTTCTGCTCGAGCAGGTTTCCATTTCTGTATTTTAGAGCATACATCTGTATTGCCTAAAAATGCATGCTCTCATAGCACTGCAGATGTTAGAAGAAAACAGCACCCGATCAGAGCCCTATGATACACCTCACTCACAGCACTGAGTTCAGAGGAAAAGTGAGAGTACAAGTGCTGCCACACTTCATTATCTGACACATCACCTGGCTGCAAGTAGGCACTGTTTTCCCCTTTCAGAGGAGTGGACTGTATGAACATGGGGCATTTCTTCATTGTGAAGTGTCTTGCTGTCCTGCAGCTGCTCACTTCTAAGCTTTGGCAGTCTGGTGTTGTTTTACCAAACCATACAAGATATACTTGGTTTTATTTAGTATTTTTCTATGCCTACATAACAATGTTTTAGTAAGAGCACCAGTTTGTCAGTTAGCTCTTACATTGCAATTGTTTTATTGTGTACTTCTAAATACATTTTCTTCTTCAATCCATTGCAGGAGCAAATGCTCTTTGAGATTTTTTCTAACAAGTGCAAGCAGGTGGAGAAACCATATTTCATCAGGAAACCAAGTTCATTCAATAAACCTAGTGAATCCTATTATATTCTTACCCTGTCACAACGGCAGAACATGTGAGGTCATTGCGGAAGGCAGAATGGGGTGAGCGAGTTGTGGGTGAGGTGATAAGACAGACTGCAGAATCCTTGGGCTTATATTGTCCTGCACATGCCTTGTTTTTAGTATGTATGTTGGGGAAAAAAACAACACTGAAGACAAAAACCAAACCCATAAAGTAGTAAAGGCAAAAGACTAAATTTGAAGGGCGGAAGCAGTTGTTTGAACTGTATGCCCTTCCCCTCTCCTGCATGAGTTCCATGTCAAGACATTGTGGTCCACTGAAGTTTACCATCAAGTGGAGCTCTCTTGAGTCTGGTGCATGTTTATTCTCAGCACCTGTTTCTCCTGCATTTGCATATCACTACTTATATTTCGGTGTTTGTTTTTTTTGTACATATACCTGAAAACGATAAAACCTTTGATAGAAGTGCTTCCATCATTTCCCAGTGTTCTTGTAGTTGCTAACTCACTCCATTTTCTGCCACTTCAGTGGTTGCGTTTTGTTTTGTTCTTTTTTGTGAGTGAAATGCTCCAGTCTGAAAATCGGCATGAGGAGATCGACTGGAGAGGTAAGCTGTACTCCTCATTTGGTGCACTGTATCTTCATCCTTCTTTCCCAGGGGAGGTATGAAGAAGCATTAGTACAATTTGAAAAAAACAAGGACACAGATTTTCAGGCACTGTATCAGCTTGGTGTAATGCATTACGATGGACTAGGCACTAATAAGGACCCTGTGAGTAATCTAGTTTTACTTTTTACTTTTCTTCTAATAGCAATTTTTAATTACTAAAAGGTTCTTTATAAACTTGATAGTTTAAGATAAATAAGTCATTGATTTAGAAATAGTTTCATAAGGTACAGATGCTCACAAAGCATCATCAAAGGAGGCATCTGGGCTGTAGAAATTTTCAAAACCAGGTACAATGAAACAGGCTTATTTGAAAAATACACATGGTAATTTTTGTTTTAAAGTACCACTTCTAAGACTTTGTACTCTGTATGGAAGCAATGTCGCTTGTTTAAAAATTATTATTAATTTGTTAATGTTTAACAAGCAGTGTAGATAAAAATGGAATCTGTAAAAATAGAAATCAGACAACTGTATTTCCAAGTGTAAAGCATCGCCATATCCCAGAAGTAGCTCCTTAAACCATCAAAGCACTTTAAAGATTTCTGTTGTTACCATGTTAGGCACAGAGAAAGTCATGTTCTGTGAAAATGTTAGATTTCGTGTAGAAACTAGAAGCACATCTGTTTGTTTGACTTGCAAATAGCCAGCATCTTTTGCTAAGTGGTGCATCATTTCTGGTGTTCTGGAAGTAAGGCAAGAAGAGAGATGAAGTTACAGTGTCCAAGTGGAATCATAATATGGCTTGAGTTGGGAGGGATCCCAAGGACCAAGCTGCAACCCACCTGCCACAGGCAGGGCCGCCAACCTCCAGATCTGGTCCCAGACCAGGCTGCCCAGGGCCCCATCCAACCTGGCTTTGATCACCTCCAGTAATCTTTGAGAGTGCACTAGAAAATAAAGATTCACGTATATTATAGAATAATAGCCATTTAAAAGCAGCATTTGTTAGAATAGTTATAAGACAATTCAATTTAGACAAAAATATAATCGTTTTCAAAAAATTGCAAATGTGGAAGGTATTTAGGTAAATGAGATGTCAGAATCTCACTGATAGCCACACTGTCCACACACATTTAAGGGAGGCTTTACAGTTGAAATGTAATGATTTTAACACCTCAATTGTAGGAAAAGGGAGTGGAATACATGAAGAAAATACTCTACTCTGATTCCCCAGAGGCAAGACACTTAAGGTTTGCAGCTGCGTACAATCTTGGCAGAGCACATTATGAAGGATATGGTGTTAAGCATTCAACTGAAGAGGCTGAAAGGTGATTGCAGACAGTAATTTTTCTGATGAGTTGAAGATGCTGAGATACTGCTACTGAACTTTCTTTGTCTCTGTTTTCTTAGGTTGTGGCTTATTGCTGCAGACCATGGGAATCCAAAAGCAAGCGTGAAGGCCCAGAGTACTTTAGGAATGCTTTATTCCATGCCAGATCTAAAGGATCTGAAGAAGGTAAAGCCCACTTGCACCCTTTACAAACTTCATGAGTCCCAACTAATTTTGGATTTCACAGAAAGATTGTGGCAGTATATTTGACTCTTTAAAACTGTATTCTAAGCAATCCTAGACATTGTCATTCATTTAAGCCCAAACAAGGAGATGGTCAGTACCTCTCCCTTTGGACTGGCTTGACACTGCTTGCTGAGATTTCTGTTTAGTAGGAATATCAGAGAGAAAGATAGAGTGGATTAAAATTTTGGCAGCCTCGATGCCCTTCAATAACGAAGCAAGTGTTTCTGGTTGACAGCTCTCAGTAATTGATGCAGGTTTAAAAGCCTTCTGGGGACTCTGTTTTCTTTTACATATAAGCACTTCTTACTGACTGGTTGATGTAAAGGGTTTTAATGAAACGGTATGCAAGACAACCAGTTGAAGTGAATACATCATCACATCAGAAGTTAATTAGATAATGCAAAGCATTCGTTGAGATAAACAGGAAACAACTTTGTGCCTCTTGCTTAGGCCTTTTTCTGGCACTCAGAAGCATGTGGCAACGGAAGCCTGGAATCACAGGGTGCACTTGGTGTTATGTATCTCTATGGACAAGGTATACGTCGGAACAGTAAGGCTGCTCTGAAGTGCTTGAAAGCAGCAGCAGAAAGAGGAAACATCTATGCTCAGGCCCACCTTGTGGAGTATTATTACAGTAGAAGATTCTTCTCAACAGCTGCTGCCATAGCCAAAAGGTTAACTTCGGTTTGTTTCTCATTATTTTCATATAAGATGATAGACCTTACTTAAATGAAAGGGGTTATTAAGTTCATAAACTTGTATAAAGATCAGGAGACATTTGAGATAACGAATTGCAAGACCTCATTTTTAAGGGGGAATAGCAGACCACTGCCAAAATTAAGTCAGTAGGGTTCTCAGTTATTCAGAACAGATGAACTTTTCTTCCTGATGCTGTGAAGCAAACCATTCTTGAATTAGTCTCAGGTGGAGCCCTGTCTTCCTGTCTCCTTGTCCACAGTCTGGGCCGGGCTCCTATTTTAAACCCCTAGAAGTGTTCTGTTCTCCATAGCCTCCATTTTCATGTCATTTCTGCCCGCTATCTTTTGCCTTGTCACTGTGAACCCACAGTAATCCCTCTGAGCAGCACAGCCTGGGACATAGAGGTGGCTGCTGCAAGTGGTGCCAAGCCACCGCACTTTAGCTTTGCATCTTTGCGTTGCTTGCTGCTTATTGGGATGCATACTGTGTATGCACTTTTTGAGCCTGAACCACACAATAGTCATCATCTGCATGCAAGTGGTTTCTGTAATTACTTGACCCCTGTATATGCCACTGCATAGCAGCAGCTCTGGCAATTCAGCAGTAGTTCAGCATCGAGTGCTGTTTGCTCTGCTCATTGCTGAATGGTCTTCTCAGAGAAAGCCGCTTTGTTTTCTGCTTGTGCTGCAAACGTGCTGATGGCTGTTCAGTCTGGGCTAGCTGGTCTTTTGGAATGTGCGCGTTCCAGGCAGTTGACTTCAATTGTGGCTCACAATAGCATTATCTAACACTTAAATCCTACAACAGGACTACAGAAAATGACAACATCGAGATGCTAGCAACGATGACTGATTGTCTCCCTACATATGCAGCCAAAGGGGTTGCTATAGCTGCCTTCTACCTGGCTAGGTGCCTCCATCTTGGCCGAGGCACAGAGAAAGATGAAGCTGCTGCTAAAAAATACTATTCTAAGGTAAGCTGGTCAGGTGCTGGAATGGACTGCCCAGGAAGGTGGTGGAGTTACCATCCCTAGAGGTGTTCAAGGAACATTTTGGCAATACTGGCAATAGGTGAACACTTGGACTGGATGATCAGAGGTCTTTTCCAACCTTGATGGTTCTATGACTCTAAAGCCTTGCAGCCTAACTTATACCTCCTGAGATTGAGTGATGCCTTGGATGTGAGTCTTTAAACTTGCTGTTTTGTTTTATTAAAGGCTCTAACTTAAATAATATTTTTTAAATACTCTGCAAGAAAATGAAGAGTAATAAAATTATATTGAAAACCACTTCATAGCTTTGAAGGATACTGTCTCCCCACTTGCTTCAACAAACAAGTCATACTGTCAAACAAAAAATTCCACAGAAGTCAGCACAAAGCTTAGTAAGTTGGAAGATGGAACTCCCTAAATTATTCAAGTAATTTTATCATTTTTATTACATTTTTATCGATCGAGGAGCTACTGACACTGATACATAGGGGAAAAAAACAGATCACATTTCCTAAATAAGTGCTGATGTTGAAGGAAGATTTACTGCCTGAGAAAGACGACTAATAATGCCTTCTGAAAACTAAATTACATTCGTGATGCCTAAAAGTAAAGGCAAGATGATGATGCTAACTGGAAGGAGTGTAGAAGCAGTCCTGCTAAGATGCTCTGTGATTTCTGCATACAGAGATCATTTGTTTCTGCAAGTAAAATACTTCAGGGCCCAATTGAGTGCAGTCCAAATAAATGAAGAGTTATTTATGCAAATGTTAAGCTAGCAGCTGGCAACTTCTGTGGCTCCTTACTTATGGCAGCCACTGATAGAAAAGGCTTAGCAGAGTAGGCAAGCATTCAGCTGAATTCATAATTTAAAACATTTTGGTTTTTTTTGCTGTGAAAAGCCTTTCAGAGGATAGGTTGAGATCAGGAAAGAAACACAAGGTTGGCCATTGTGAACACTTTCCCCAGTAGTCCTAGATAAGAAGGTGTGGAAAAAGTACACCAGCATTCCATTACTGCATGGTGTAATGCGGGTATGGTCCTTCCCCCTTGTCTTCTGCCTACTCTAGCATTACAGGCAGAAGATTACAGCTTTCACTCACCATTCACTAGCAACATATATGCTACTGATAAGTAAGCATCACTAACTGCTCAGTATAAAAATAAATTATATCTGTTGATTGGTGCCATGCATCTCTACATCTACAGTCCTAGAGAAGGGACAGGCCACATAAAGGAGTCAAAGTAAAAGTTAAAGGGCAATTGTAAAACCAGAAGACTGGAGTTGTGGGTACGTTCAGTTTCTTTTGTACCTGAAAAATAATTGTTGTTAATCATTGTTATATTCCACTAAACTGAAAATAGTGGGGTTTCTTTTGTTCTTAATAACTGCACAGCTGCAGTTTTTTTTTTTTTACCCAGCTTTGAAACAGACATGTATGATGGAACTGAACAAAAATGACCAGTCTGTAAGCAGATTTAGGGTGCTGGTGGTGGTGCAAGCCAAACCAATGGTATTAAAAAAAATGAAACTAAGGCTAACAATTGGAGTTGAGCATGCTCATTTTCAAGTACTGAATTTTTCTGATGTGAAATACAAAAATTTACAGCCTTACTAGTGTTGTATTGGCAGTGTACAATTTTTTTTTGGCTACAAGCTACTACTTCATGTTCTTTGTTTTCAAAGGCTTGCCTTCTGGATCCTGATGTTGCTTCTGAGCTTGAACTGAAAGCTAATCTTGGAAGAATTTAAGTGTTTCCTTCAGTTCTGGTAGGTATTAGACAAACTTCCTACAATAAGTCATTTTTAATATTCAATTACAGACTGTTCACTTAGTGCTTGAATTTCTAATTCATATAACTTATAAGAAATTTACTGAGATATTTAAAAAAAGCAAAAAGCTCACAGTAACTGAGATACATGGCAAAGGCAGACTTTTAAAATGGTACTGAAGACAAGTTCTGATAAGGACACAGTACTGCTATACAGCATATAAGTCAAACTGAACCAAATTAAAAGAATGGTATGCTTTTTGCATTTTTAGTATTTCAGAGAAATACTTGAAAACCTTGAACCCAAACTTGCCTAGTTTTCACATACAGCCCATCCACAGCTCATGACTTTGTGCTGAATTCCATTTTAGAATCTTAGCTTTGCTAGTGACATGTATACTTTCTTTTTTGTGCTTTTTTAACTCATCTACATCTACTGAACCATCCTAACATGTTTTACCCACGGACCAGAGAGATTCCAATTTAGCAGGTGGTCTCTATGTAAACTTTTTGTCAGTTTACATGCCAATTTTACTACTAGTGAATTCTACTTACAGAAACACAGAAGAAAAGGCATCAGTCTGGAAGCATGTCTCTAGGCCACACTAGGCCCATTTTTTCTATCCTTCTTCATAATGTGATTATGCTACCTCTGTATTAGAAACAGCTGGAAGACCTTTTGGTTAACAGTGTTGTATGTCTGAATAGCATTATACTGAACCTTTTATCACATGGTACCTCTGGGAAGTTTTACAGATGGCTGTGGTAAGCCTGCACATTTCTAAATACCTGTTTAATTGTAAAGCTTGGCATGTGCAGGAAAGCTTGCTTCTTAGGGCTGTGCTGTCACTTGAGAACTGTTCAGCTCTGTGGCAAAAGGAGGTGAGATGTTAGTAAAAACACTGATTTCACTACAGCAGATGGGTTTTAGTGGTAAGTCTTGTTTTTCAAAGAGCATGGTTACACTGAATTTGAAATAAAGTAATGAATGGCAGCTGGAGCTTTTTGATGTTTAATTGTTTAGATGAGCTTTAAGACCATATTTACACATTTTTTTACATAAATTAAAAAAAAAAACACTGAAGATGTTTCATTTTTCTTTCCTTTGTATAAAATCAGGGAAAGTTCTGAAGGTTGTCTGAAACTGAGTAACAGAGCCCTGAGTAATATCAGGGAAGCTATTGGAATAGTGTAATTAAATGTCTACTTACTCATTCACAGAAGCACTAATCTCTGACCCTGTGTTTAGCACAGGCATTCTGGTTGGAGATACCAGTTTAAAATGTGTATTTTGTACACAGACTCCAGTAAGTCTGTAAAACATAAATACTCCATATGAAACTAGCACTGTCAAACTCATTCAGTAGTTGTTAGTACAGCCTAATCATCAAATACTGAAATTGAATTTTGTTATTTATTGCTTACAAGTGCTTCAAACTACAGGAAATCTTTGGTAAAAACAAAATTGATAAAATTTTCACAATAGCTTTACATGTAATATTGCACAACAAGGCTTTTTCAATGCACAAGAAAAAAGGAATGCTCAAATCCTCAGCGAGGAGATTAGAACTGTACAACATTCATTAGTTTACCACTATAAGCAAAACTTCTTTTCATAAATGTTTAAAATATTTCTGGTTTCTTTGAGCTTATATGAACATTTATTTTTCAATCTATATTTGAAACAGAAGAGTAGTCAAATAGAACAATTTAAATAAAAATTGGCAACTATACAACATTGTTTTGTCTACCCTACTACAGCATCAGATCTTTTCAAGTATGTTTACTTCACAAAAAAAAAAAATCTCAAGAGGAAAAAGAAAAACCCTAAAAATAATCATAGTCCTCAGCCCTCTATGGAAAAGAGGAAAATAAGTTTAATGTCTATTATTGGACATAGACATTTCTCTAGTGGTCCACTTGTGCAGATTCAAACCTAAGTGGCATTAAGCTGCTCTAAATGAGCTCGTAGCTCAGGACACAGTTCAGTTAGCAGCAGTTCCAGCAAAACCTGAAAAACAGAGAAGATATGAGGTTGAATACAGATGCCAAATTAGCGTTTCTTTTAACCTTTCTGATATATTCAGAACATCACAGGTAACAGCAGCATACAAGGTCCTTCTGCTCATCTTCCATGCAACTGCTCTTCTGAAAGCCTCGGATTCTCCAAGCAATGCAGTGAGTGTCTGCTGCTTCTCAGCTATAATAAATCAGTGCGTAACTTATGGGCGGCTCGGATGTGTGGAGATTCTCATAGACAAAAGCAGTACTGTATTTTAAACAGCTTTTTGTTACTCAGAATGATTCGGATGATGAAGTGAATATGTTTTTTCTGACTTTGCTCAAGAACAAAAAAAGTTACTTGCAGAGATCAGTACCATACTACCATTATGTGTGCAAAACCACACACCCAGGGCTTTAATTCTGAGTGGAACTCAGCAATTAAGAAGATTCTAAAACTAAAAGCCCACTTTTCTGGTTACTCACATAGAGTAGATGCTTGTTGGCCTTTCTTTCTTGCAGTGCATTGAACACTTTCACTACACCATGGCGGGCATTTTGCTGTCCAACGAGGCTCTGCAGAGTATCTGCAACAAACATGACTTCAGCGTACAGCTTCACTCCTGATAGGCAGTGTCCAACCAACACTACCACCCAAAAATACATAAGGCTGGAAAATGAAATGCTGCCCTTAATGGTAGTTATAGATGCCATCCACCAGCCTTTTAAAAACATGTAGGTAACTCAGGTCACTGGTTGGAAAGTAACCCTTCACTCTCAAGTCAGCTGAGTCAAATAAAGAATATTGTCACCAAGATGCATAAACTATTAAGTGTTTTAATGCAATACGTAGTCATCACACAGTCGTGTCTAATGGCCAACATTATTAATCCATTCACTGAAATATACTTTCAGACACAAAGAATTCCTTCAGCAGTTAAGATTTACTCTCCACCTTCCCAGAAATACTTCTCAGAAGCAAGCAGATGAGGGAAGTCTATGTCTATCATCTGCATTTTGGATTAAATTACAGTGGAGAATAAATCCAGTGCTTCATCTTTAATTTCAGGTAAATTCAGATATATCCTGAAGCATCACTTCTAATTGAAAAACAAATAAGAAAACCCAAACCTACTAGGGAAGGCTGTTCTAGGACAGCACCCCAGAAGCATGCACACTCAAGGGGAAGCTGCCTCACTTGGTGGTGATTAAAGGGCATGAAAGGAAAGCACTGCAAACCCCATCCTGCCTGGGGTGCTTCTGTCCAGGCTGCAGGTCTCTCCATATTCAATGCCCTGAAACCTCTTCTCAGAAATGCACAGCATCACACAACAATGACAACATGGGTAGATAGAGCAAGTGGCAATGGCTGTGGTGCCACTCTTCCTGTATGTCAAGTAGTTCCAGGCAGCAGAACCACCTCCTGTTTGCTCACTGGGATATAGCAGAGAGTACCCAGACTTCACTTAGCTTTCTTAATGAGTATTATGTACAAACTCCAGCAATACTGGACCTTCTATCCTCTGGTACTACCCAAGCCTGTGCCATTTACCAGACAAAGATGGGAGAAGCAAAGAATAAGGCCAAAACTACACTTATTTATGCAAATAAGCATGACTTACAGCTCCAAAGGAAAAATCTAAAATGCAGCAGAACAGGACCTGATTAACTGGTTTCCTTACTAGTTATTAGATATGGGATTAAGCAGAATGGAGGTGTTCTCACCTGGAATGTTTTCAAGTAGTTTTTGCTGTGCTCGCTGTTTGGTCTCTTGCCTTTGTTCATCACTCTTGGCAGTTGGTGGTGGTGCTAGTCTTCCATTTGGCCAAAAAGCATCTCTAAACACGCCAATATAGTAAACAAGCATTGCTTCACTGAACATCCAGTGTACAGTGTCACGGATTTGCCTGTAAAAAAGCATGGAAGTGAGCACATCACATCTTACTCAAATCTGTTTTTTTCCCCTACTAAAAAACAATGGAAGCAATGCTTATCTTTATGTAACTATCTCAATTTACCGATGCCATTTCCACCAGCATTACAGCACGCTGTACTGAGCAGCTGTGCTCTAAAATGGAGATCACTGAAGATAATCTGACTGAGATATACAGAAGGCTTCACTTCAGTGTAGCCTGCAAATACATATTCCACAAAGTGCTACACAGAGCCAGGTCATTCAGAAAACAGAGCAGCAGCTTATCTCAAATGCAAGGCTGCTTCATTGAGAAGTCTGTTAGGGTTCCAGTCTCCCGATTTCTTTCAAAAGTAAAGCCCTGTGTAGGGGAAAAAGTCCTGGGTAAATGAGCTGAAAGATAAGCCACATCTGTGGCTTCTCTACTCAACCTATCTGTAAACTGAGCTATGGAAAACAAATGGGGATTATCATATACAACAAAGTGTCCAGATTATTATTACTGTTACTCTCAACAATTCTTCTCAGTCTTTCCCCTGTGGAACAATGTTGCAGGTTCAATTCAAGTAACAGGCACTTACTTGTTGATGGTTCTTCCAAAAGTGACTTGTACTAGTGCAATTAATGTTTTTCTCACCCACTTAAACACTGGAATGATGAAAGAGGACAGGAAATGAAGGTCATGGAATTACTAACATTACAGAATCCATAATCACACCCCCCTAAAAACCACAAACCAAAAAACCCACCCCTGCATTAAATGTTAATTAATGGTACGTGAGTCTTTTTCTTGTTTTCCCTGTACAGTTTGCTATACAGTTTTTAAGTCCTGCGGATGACAGAAACACATCTGCATTATGCTTTTGCCATTGATACCATAAGCTTTAATGTTCAAGAATATCTGAAGTGCACTGAACCATGAAACTGCCCAACCACTTTTTGTGCTAGAAGAAAAGGAAGACTTTCTGTACCCTACAACTACAATGCTGTATAAGCAGCAGCAGCACTGCAATTCCAAAAGCATTCTCACTCATATAGTTAGCTTTCCATTGCCAATTAAAGGAACAAATGCAAGTGCTTCCTAGTAATTAGAGTCTAATACTTCTTTCATGCTGTTCACCACCATTAGAAGAAAGCCTATATTTGGAATGTACATCTGTTATTTTTGGAAGGGGCTGCATTTTGTAATAATTACCCTGTACCTAATTTTATAAAGTGTCAAGTGTGGCTCCACATTCAAATAGAACCAAAAATAGTTTTCATCACTCAGTTACATAAAGAAGGGAAAAATCTGGTAGGGAAAGGTGCCACAGTTACAGCATCTTTGCCATTATACAAAGCGTAGAACTGAAATGCATCCATAATGCACTTGAAACGGACATTAAAACCACATTGCTCCACTGGTGGCACATCCTGCGATGGAGTTGTCTTTCCTTCCTCATAAATTGTATGTTGCAATCTGCAGCCCATATACAGATAATGTGCTGTTGTACTTCCCTATTTTCCCCAAATTCATTTTCTTTAATGAAAAAGCATATTCCCTGCCTTGCCAGTGACATTTTTACTGCAGTATTACACTGTAGTAGCACTTTTATTCTGAAGTTTTAAAGTTAGGACTGTTGCAAAACAGCTCCTTGCCAGATTAGCTGGCTACAGAGGTTTCAAGAATATTTCAACTTCTTGAAATAGAAAAATGTGAATTACAAAGCACCCCAGATTTCTTGGCCAACAGGTTCCACTAGCAAATAAGCAGGTTTGCAGCTTACTTCCTCGCAGCTCAAAAATCTCCCCAATCAGCATGAAACACGGCTCAGCAATAGAGTCCCTTTTTCCATCCACCTCTTCCCCATAGTCTGACAGGTCACTGTCCTCTTCAATTTCTTCCTAAGAACAGAGGGACAATGTAGGCATGGAGTGACATTTCTTCAATACTGCTTTTTTTTTTTTTTTTTTTTTTTTTTTTTTTTCTTCCCCCTTCTCATCTTCTGGTCCAGAAAACCTCCTTCATGACTTAATTTCTCTTAATTTGTTTTCGTTCTTTGCCTAACAGTGATGGACTTTCAATTGTCTATCACCCAAACCCTGCCTGCACATGGGGCTGGAACTGGATGATCTTCAAGGTCCCTTCCAACCCTCTTGTTCTGTGATTTTAAAGTCCTATCCTACAGTGTTTCAGCTGTACACCAGAACATCTTACACCTTCTTCCCATCCTCCAAACCCCACCTTTGCAATGCCCAGCATTGCAAAGCAGCAATAACTCACTATGTAAATGCAGGAAACGAAAATATTGATACTGATAATAGTACAGGAGAAAGATCCCAGGGCCATGCTGCTGTGCAAAAGGCAAGCATAACAGCATGATACATAGGCAGGAATGCTGTCCATCAGACAGTTGTGAGCATAAGTAAAGGAGATTTTCATACATAGGAACATGAGAACTCAGTGGGTGCAACGTGTTTCAAAATCAGTCGTATTTCCAAGAAAAATGTGGATGATCAGGAAAGTGCAGAGCAGAACTGTGGCAACTACACAGAACGTGGTAGGGAATGCTGGGCTGCTCACTCTAAGAAATGAGTAAAAGACCCAAGGAAAGTAGTAACTCCTGATAAAGAGCATGATCCTCACCCAAACATGGAGATTTTCTCTAAAGAAAGGGACTAGGCTGCTCTCTGTTCGCTGCAGACAGGACAAGAGCTGGTTGAATACAGTGAGATTTGGGTTAGATGGTAAGAACAGGCTTATAACCAAGGAGTGACACACTGCCCTGCGTGACTGCAGAGCATCCATTGGTCACTGGAGGTTTAAATACACCACAGATAAAGACCTGACAGTAATGTTGCTGGTATAGCTGAGCCTACTCAGAGCAGAAGGGCAAATCCAATGACCCCTCTGTGGTCCCCGTTCTATTTTTCTGCTCAAGTGAATCCTCCCCCATTTAGAAAATGCAGTAAGTAACTCTTATACTGTAGGGATGCATTTTCTACCTCCATTAATAGTTCATGAACCCCCAAACCTCTCTCTAGGTACTATCAGTCGTACTTTTCCTCCTATTTAATTCCATTCCAAATTTAGCCCCATTTAAGGAACCCCAGGTATCTGAGATCTGAAATTGTTGTAATATATAATCCTGAAAGCAGCACTCAAGAGGTTAATATTGTTGCTCCTGCACATATCTGAATAACATGAGACAAGATGTATAGTTGTAAGAGAGCATGCTCTTCAGAGTTCAAAATATGGAATAAAACACGACACGATCAAATGATGTAATACACACATGATCTGGCTTTTTTTTTGAGGATGTTTTTCTATTAATTAGTACTAACAGTACTAATTAGCTAACAGCTTCATTGTTCTTGCTACTTCCACCTATTAGTCAGTATGGTGAATATGAACTATTTTCCATCTTTAGAAGAACAGAAGTACTTCTGTCAAAACGTAAAACAAGCATCTCAAACTTTCTTTATATTAATTCCTCTGAAATAATACAATGTATTCATTGCCCAGGTGTGAATGCAGTGCAATTCTGGAAACATTCAGGATTTTCTTATTCGTGACAGTAGCAAGACCACCTTTTTGTCCATTCACAGGCCAGCTCCATACAAGTTTCCCTAACTCCACTTAGCCTTGAAGAGGCCCATTCACTGCAGAAAACTACAGCATTTAGCAAAATAATTGTTTCACATAACATACAACTGGTGATGGAAGCAGTTCCCTGGAGGTCGTGTATCTATAACCCCAGCAACACATGACAGAGCACCATGGAATTTTAGTTTTAGTCAGTGAGCTATTTTAGTCATTCATCTTTTCTCTGTTGTGCTTTCAAAGATGAGGGATATTTATGCCTTAGTATCAAATATGCCAACCTGTTTGGCCACATGGGCTACCATCCGCATACACAAATTCCCTCTGTGAGCCTGTACCACCATTTGCAGACATTCTTCATCAAAACCAGCTTTGCTCCGTAAATTGTTGCTGCCAAGAGAAGTCTCCTAAGAGAAAAACTCCCTAAAACATGCACGTCTAAAGCATAGAAGGCAGGAATACTAATAAAAAATAAACAATCCCACATAGACTGCATTTCATTCATTCGTGATAGGTTCCACAGTTACCTATATATATGTGTATCTGTGTGTCAGAGGACAGGAAATTTATTAAAAATACCTTACAAATTCATAGGCAGCTCTTCTCTCTGAATCTTTGTTCGCTAAAGGTAAATTAAAAATGACCTTTCAAAAACACCTTCCAATACTACCTGCCATTCAAATGTATTACAATAATGGCTCTGTCTGCTTACTCTGGCTAATTAATTAAATCTGGGAAGATAACTCACCTCCTGATGAGAAAACCAGTCACAAGGAAGTCGCTCTAAAAATGATGAGAGTGAAAAAGATGACTTTTTCCCTTGCACATCAATCACTTTGAGGTGTTCTGGAGAAGGGCTCAAGAAGGCATAAAGTGCTTCACTTTGACAGAGCCTTTCATCAGAGAGCAATTTCTGTGAAAGGAATACAGAGACAGAAACAACACATTAACTATTTCTTTGTAAGGAACAAAGTGCATCAGGCCAGCTAATGAAACTTAACGATTAAGATAGCTCAAAAGTAGAATGAGAAAAAATAATCTATGTCTGACAGATGCTTGGCTGTGATGATCTTATTTTAAGAAGCTTGGCAAGCCTTTAATCCGACAACTTCATTTTTAAAAACATGAAGTTCTAATTTGTAAGAAATTAGTTTTCAGGTGTTGTAGTTAAAAATGACAATTCTAGGACTCACTATTAATTACTTCTTAGCTAGTCAACAATCAAATTAACTTACCTCTAGAGGACTGGCTCCTATCAGCCAAACTCATCTCAACTTCATGCATTTTAGATGACTCTCACACTTAGCAATGCCAGTCCTCCCAGTTGAGCTGTTTTGCTCTATGCTCTCCTTTTAGTAAATAGAGAGAGCATCAACTCTGAAGGCATTATTCAGTTCTTTTCTTTAGACACCTGACTTCAGTCAAACACACCTGGGAGTGCCCACCTGTGTGCAGGCACTGAAGCTTTTGAGGAATTCCACCCCTGTATGCCATGAATTGAATTTCTCAAGTATCTCACAGAAGTTCTTTTGAGGCTACACATCCCTGCAAAGAATGAACATGAACACAGGGACTGCCTCAAGCCCTCAAACCAGGCTGTAATTCCAGCAGGGTTACTGCCAACCTCTTCTTGCTCACAGGACAGGAGAACCCACTCTTTAGAATGCTTCTGGTGGCAGTGGATGAGCCAGAGAAAAAAGAAATTCCCTTTTTGTAGCCACCAGACTTCTGCGTGCCAAAATGGCACTGGTCAAGTTAGCAGAAGCTGTTCTTACACTGTCTGTTGCTGCTGGCACTAGCAGCACTACTCAGAACATGGGCAACCACTGTACAACCATCAGGGAGCAAGGGATATCACAGCTCTATCAGGAGTAGGAAGGAAGACAAGAGAGAAGGACATAAAGCTTGCCACCTACGTTTTGGTAAAGGATCATGACAGCACCTAAGGAAAAAAACATGAAGATTCACAGTCACCTAGTTTATAATTTTCGCACATTTCTTTTCAATAATGTTTTTGGACACAACAAGTTGGCAACCTGTCCAAGTTTGAAATCCTATCACTTTAAGAATAAGTAAAGTTCATACTGAGAACTCAATTCCAGTTCAGCCTCCATCTTAACTGTAAGAATCCAGATGATTGATAACATTACTCCCAAGAGAAGTGTTCATGGCAAACAGCAACATTTGGTTGTCCCTCAAGTCACTGGTAAATAGGAAGGTAACTCTGAAGTTTACACACTTTTCATATTGATATCTTCCAGCTAACACAGAATGCTTGAGAATTCAAGTAACCTATCTTAAAAAGCAGCCATACATATAGAGTGCTGTAAAATAAAAAGCAAATGCTGTGAACGTAATTTGTGGTGTTACCTGAGACCAAATTTGTCCACAGAAGCAAAACTGAACTCCAAGAATACCTTTCTATTTTAAACAAATTAAATTACAAGGCTCTCCACCTGAGGCTCTACGTGACCTAAAAACAGTAATCACACACTGCATTCAATTAAATTAATGCAATCTCAGCAGTATTAGCCTAGTTCACGGACACCCAACTCCCACAGAAGCCAAGCCACTTCTTCCACTCTGCAAGAGGCACAACTCCCCCCCCTTGCTGACAGCCCCTCAAGCTAACTGGCCACACACCAAACTTGGGACTAAGAAGGAAAATGCTCTGCCACCACTGACCCTTTGCGCTGCAGTCAAGATGGGGCAGGAGTGTGCAGTCTCTAAAATGGACCATCTGAAGTCTCATTTGGAAAGAACAGAGAGGGGAAGATAGAAGATAAAGACCTAAATGGCACACTAAGACCCCACAAAGACAGAAAGGACAGAGACATTACTCAGAAACTAGCAGAAAGTGTTGGAGATGGATACATTCACCAAAGCACAATGGAGAACTGGGATTTTCCAAATAGTGGCTGTAAAAGTGTGGTAAAAGGAAAATAACTGTGGTCATCAAATCCACGTAGGACAGAAGAGATGAACATACAGCTGTCTTAACTTTTGGTACTTTCATCACTCTGTGGTCTGCTTTCTTACCTGCAGAAAGTTATTAAGCTGGTTCTTAGACTTCTCCATGAACTTCTGGTCTATGGATTTGAAGGGCAGCTTGCTGAGTGAAGGCAACTGAACTTTCTTTAATGATGGAAAGCACTGTAGGAGAAAGGGCAACTCACTTAATGTGCATGTGCAGAAAAACAACAGCGGTGCCAGTTCTAGATGGAAATGAGATTCTGTAGTCTCATCTGCCTTCCATATCCTGCTCAGCATGCTGAAAACACCTTTCCCTTACCCACTGTGGGCTGACACATCTAAACCTTTCTGCAACTCCCAACACCACCATTATCAATCTTCTGCAAGACAGAAAAGGTAGAGCAAATTAATGGGAAATCTCCTCTGTTCGAAGAGTGTCAGTTTCAATACCTCTCCAGGAGCCAGAGACAAAATTTACTTTTCAAAACATTGACAGGTGCAAGTGGATTATTTAGATGTTGGGTCACTTCAGTAAAACACTCATTATTAAGAAAAAAAAGCAAATAATTCCATGTACATTTGGCAGAGGCAACGTATATATGGATAATGAACCTAGAAAGGGTGAAAGCCAAAAGACTGGAGAACTGGTCATATTTTTGTGTGTTATTCAGTGTTGGCTTTTTTCCCTTCTCCATATACGACCCTGACAACTTTTAGCAATCTACATCCTCTCCCTCCCTTGAGATTCATACCTCACTGAGCTTCCGGTGTAGGTTCTGAAACTCACTGAGCTTCCTGGGAACAGTCCAGTTCTTAGTTTCAGCTCCACCGACTTCTTGTAAACTCACTAGGACAGAGTAACAGGGCACTTGTTCTCCATTCTCTTCTGAAACCTTTTGGGAAAAACAAAAAAGCCCAACAAAAATACAGATAAGGTACAACTCTGAAAGTAAACAGTGGAACAATTTGTGCTGCCAGAGTGGCATGCAAATTCACTCACCATCACTGCACAAAATTTAAGCCTCTTTGTGAAGGCAATACATCAGAAAATCTATAGAAAACTCAAACTGAAAACTATACCAAAAGGTCACGTGCTTGTCTTAATACATAGGCAAGTAGCAGAAAGAACACCGTTCTCACCCCACCTGTTTGAGGGAAGTAACAATATATTTAAGCTTTCCAGACTTTTATTTATTTTTAAGATGACTTAATTCATCCAGATAGAAGAATAGAGTTCAAAATTCATAGAATTATGACACATTTTCTAAGAAGCCCATGGAAGTCTGACAATGCTTAATGCTTATGACAGGAGATTTGAAGAGCTGCTGCGATGCCAGCGCAGAAAGTACACAGTTAAAATATATCTGCGTCTTGTACAACTGCTCAGCTGCACCAGGAGAACATTCTCTGCAATGCACTCTTCCTGTATCTGACCTTGGAAACTGGGAAACCCTATCTGACTTCTGGGTTTCACATCTCTCTAGAGAAAAAGTGCAGCAGCATCCTGACAGAACACACAGCACCAGATTCAACTTCCAAAAACATGCCCGGTTCCAAGCACAGTTATTTCGGGAATTACCTTCCTGCTTTCTCAGCCAGAACACTGCAAAAAGAACTGCTTGAATAGCAGCTTCCAGCACATGGCTCAGAGGGAACAGTGTCTACCAGGAAGGTCCCCACCCTTTGGGTTTGTGTTTGCAAGTCTCCTGCAAATATCTCACAACAGCTATTTCTGAAAAATGGAAATGCTGATCTGAGCAACTTACTCTCAAATATAAAGCACTTTCTTTCTGGGTATCCTATCCTAGTCCCTTGAAACTGCAATACCATTACATATTGTAATACAAAGTGCAAAAAGTGTGCATATCTTTGAAGCATACTGGAGAGACAATCATGCTCAAGTGCAGAAGCACGATATTTATAGCATGAGGCAGCTCTAATGAAAAACTGTGCTCTTAAGATAGCAAACTAGTTTACCCAATGCCAAAACCTGCTCATATATACACAGGTGTTTTAATAACTCCATTACAACAGAATCTGGGCACTGGAAATGTTTCTATATAAAATACAGTAAACACTTGGGAAAGAAAGGAGTTCAGAAGAGACTGTTTTTTCTCGCCAAGCAAATACAAAGCACACACACGTACACAAAGGCAAAAGGAAAGCATATGCAATTTTTTTACCCTTCTCTTTCTGCAAGTTTGAGCTGCTGCAGAGGATGAAGACCCATAAAAACCATACCTCGCCTGAGATGATGAAGGCTTTCCACATGCCAAGATTCTCACACCACCAGTCTGTTCTTGCAATGTGCAACTGAAGGTCGTTATGCTCTCTCTCCATCAGAGTGATCTCATCCTTCAGCTTAGAAACAATCTGTAGAGGAAGATTTATCAATTACCACCGGGAAGAAAAAGCTTGGGTGGCACATCCAGTCACGTTTCTGAGGCCACTACTCAGAAAGGCAAGAAGATGCAAAAGACCAATTTATGTGCAAAAGAAAATGACAGTACACTTGTACAATAACGTTAGCCTCAAAGATCAGCTCCAATACTAAAATGAAAAACAAAAGGCACGATACTGTCACACTCTCAGGATAAAAGAGGCACATTAGATAGAATTATTTATTACACAGTTCATATATTGTAAGTTTTATTCTAAATTGAAATTACAATTACTGCAACACCACTTACTGAAGGCATTCTCCCTACCATTTTTCCATTTCAGATACACACAATGAGATGGAAGAGCTTGGGAATAGATTACATTTCCAGGAACAATGCTATAGTAACATTTACCCAAGTAGCTACCACTCAACTCACTTCAGTTTTGCAAAAGCGGAGGACTTTTGTGGAAACCACACATTGGAAAAAAAAAATATAAGATGTTCTCATCAGCACATAGCTCACAGCCAATCTCACAAAGGAGAAATAGCATATCTTACAATATCAGCAAAAATAACTATCTATACCTAAATCCCAGGGGACAGTATCTAGAAAGGGTAAAAGTACACATAAAATGTGGTATCTGTGTACAATCTGCTGCCAGGATGTGCTCCTGTGCTACAAGTTTTACAGCGAAGGCTCATAAATGTGATGAGGTGGTATATCGTATTATTAAAAAATAGACAGCTGCTTCCACATTTATTTGGAGTGGTGAGACCCTGGCACAGGCTACAGAGACAGGCTATGGCAGGTGGATGGTGTGGAAGGGACAGAGGGAGCAAAGCTGGCCACTGTAGTCTCCAAAGCTACTGCTCACACCCTGCTTTAGAGGCATATGTCCCTGGAGCAATGAGAATGAGTGGGCTGTCAACTTCTGTTCAGGCTAGTGTTGCTGCACTCACCCCATGTGCAAAGTAACTAAAGAAGGAAGGAAGAGCCCACAGTCCTGAGCCATGGTGTAGGCCCAGGCCATTTCAGCCATCCCCTTAGGATGATGAAAGTATCCTCTGCAGCTTTCTCCTGACTCCTTTAAGTCACTTTCATGGGTCTTTTGTTCCTTTATTTAAGCAAGCCCATTGCATATTGGGACACCATGACACTGCTGTGCTACTTGCAAGACAGCAGAGGGAGCAGCAGTTAATGAGCACAGCCCTACACTGCAGCGCTGCAGATGCAGCAAGGACTGAGCCAGCTGTCACAAACAATTAATTATACAGATCTAAGTGGGCAGAGATGCAAGGAAGAAATCTGATTTGCTGTGGACAGAGCAACAAGACTATAGGAGGAAAGGTCATTATTTTATGTTAAAATTAAAATCACAGCTGCAGTTGTATTGACAGTAGCTTTAAAAAATAGGAAAAAAAACAGTTATCACCAAGCTCTGATTGCACTTTTAAAAACAGGGTGAACAAAAAAGGCATCGGATTTGTCCAGAAAGGGCCTGATATGACTGGATATTACATAAACACATCATACGAAAAAAGGACTGAAGACAACCAAGGTACTCACCTTTTTGTTGGGTTTTGGTGAATTACATATGGAATTTAGAGCCTGTTTCTTATATTTAAGCTTGTCATTCAGTTGGCGAAGCTTATTTACAGCATAACTGGCCTGTTCATTAATTCCTGTGCTGCATTCTTCAGTAGCTTGTCCACAACCTTGGCTCTAGAAACAGAGGATGGGGATGACTGCATCATTAAGGTGAAAAAAGGAAAAATTTTGTTTGCTCTAAATGCATTTCACGTGTATAAACATTTATTCTTCATCTAGATAAACATGTAGGTCTATTGGCATATTAGTCTAACAAATTCTCATATATACTTCAACCAGCAGATCCAATATGAGACATAAGAAAAGAATGTCAAATTATCATTTCTACTACATCTGCATGAAACTCTTCCAAACAAAAATGACCTTTGAGCTAAGTCTGTGGTGTGACAGGAAGAATCAACGCTTCTTTTAAAAGCAGCAACAGCTTAGTAACTCGATATTCAGAACCAGACAGGACAGCAAATACTCAGCACTGAACTGGAAGGTAGTAAGACAAGGGGAAAAAAAGCAGAGCTCTTATACACAGTCCTGCCTCCAACAAGCCTTCACAAAACAGATTTAGCAGCCTGTAGAACCAGCTAACTACAACCTATCTCTCTGTAAACAGATTTTACTGCTGTTTTTAGAAATGCTAATAAAAAATGTGTCAGAAGCACATACGCGTTACCTAAATTCAGTAATCATTTTCTCATAGTCATTGAAACAAACCAACTGATTTTCCCATCTGCTGCACAGCAAGCACGTGGAAAAAAATGCAGAACTTCACACCTTTCAGCAACTTCCTCTTTAACAACTTCTGACATTTGCCTTAACTTCCCTGTTCTTACGGTAGCTCCTCAAATAGGAACGAAGAGGCTGAGATCCAGCAAACAGCACTGTGATGCACCCACCATCAGCAGTGTCATCCTCAGAAATCTCTGAGGTTTGCCTGTGGCTGAATGGATCTTGGTTTTATCGGTGGGATGAATCTAATCCACAAACAAGGGACAGACTTTGTGTTATTTAATGGTATTTCCACTAAATAAGTTTCATCTCATTTTAACATAAAGCTAACAGAAGGAAATCTCTGAGTTTACATCTTAGTGAAATAGGTTTGAGAAGGTTACAGTAGCAGCAATAATTAACCTCCTCAGTTTGGTCCTTCTAAAGGATGGTAATGTAAGGTAGGAATCAGGAGTTCTAGGCAAAGAAATCCATGCTCTTTTCCAGCTCTGCCTTTGTCTCCTATGTGGCTAAGCAAATACTAGCTGCATGCCATGTCCTTCCATCTGCTTTGCATGATCTGTAAACTTTGTGAGTCAGAGACTGCTTCAAAGCACGCGTGCAGAGATTAGCTTACAGCTTCTTAACTACAATAATATAAATAATAAATACTAGCAACACTGGACTTTATTCCAAACTCCACAGATCATAAGCCAAACATTTGAACCTGCAGGGAAACACAGACGTCATACAGAATCAGGAATATTAGTTTCAGCAGGGAAGAGCTGGCAGCTACTCCCACCAAGCCTGGCTCCACTCACCAAAAGACTGCATTTAATTACAAAGCAGTGAGGCTCTGCTCCCAGAGGAAGGCTGTAAGATCCGTCATTAAATGATTCTGAGCCTTTCAGCAGGAAAACAGTGCTGAATGCAAGTTTGTCATAAAATGACAAATTACAAGATAGCAAGTTACCTCCAATAGAATTATCAGATTTATCAAATAATCAATCAACATACTCAAAGCTGAGACCGTAATGGATTGTGCTGCTTTCACCTTATCTCCACTGCACAACTTCTATTTCCACTAGATCTCCAGAACACAGACCTGGGACTCTGCAGTGATCTGCCACAGAGCTCCAGCACGGCCTCCAGGCTTGTCCTGTTTGCTTTTGTGTCTTTACTTGTGACCCTTAAATGGAGCTTCGTCCATGATACAAACAGTGATGACAGATGAGATGGAAGAGCTTGTTCCACTAGCAGCAGGACCAGCAGAGCGTGCCCTCACCTGGTTTGGTCTTCTCACATTCCATCAAGGCTCACATTTGTGTCCTCCCCCCAAAAGGGCACTACATGGCTTTTATCTCAACAGAAAAGTGAATGGAAACTGAAAACACACACACAACTCCCACATTGCCCAAGAAAATGTGAATATAGACCACCAAAATCCAAACCAGCCCCAAAACAACCAGTATTCACTGTCTACGTGGAAACCTCCAGGCATACCGAAGTCTCAACTGCAGATTCTTATATGTGGGGAAAAAAAAGCTGTTTGCTAGCTAGTAGCTGGTATTTCCACCCACAGTTGGAAGGCTATTGGAAACTTCTAGAGGAATAACTTGCTATAATTTATTCCCACCCCAAATACTCTGAAGCCTGGTGCAGAGCCATTAGGATCACTCTATTAGATGATGCTCTAACAGCACATGCAACTTTGCACTTAGCTTGTAATTTAAAAAGATGCAGAAAAACTTCAACCCTATAGAAAAATTTGGCCATATTTTAGTCTTTAAGGTTTCACAGCAAACACAGCCTTCAAACAAGGCATGCATTTAAGCAAGCACAGAGAGGAAAAACCGATGATGCCTATGTCCAAGATCTGATTGTTTCAGCAGTGAACATTATCTGACAGTTAGCTCAGTCCTAAAGCATGGTGTCAGTTTTCCTTGAGAAATGGTTATCACCACTGGTGGGAATGGTGAGACTCTGAATAAAATACATGAAAAGAATAAAAAGGGCAGAACTCAGAACAGAAAGCATGGTGCAAAAAGAGTAACAGCACTTCCCCCAAGTCCAACCAGTGCCAAGAAAAGGGCAGGACATTCCTGACATACCTACCACTCTCAACACACAGCTGGGTCAGCCATGAAAAAAAGAAAGCAGGTCTCGAATACTTGGTCAAGGAAAAGGACTCTGAGAGAAATGAACAATAAAAAACTGAGCAAGCTCTCAAGATTGTGTGGGAAGTAATTTCTTTACAGCAGCTCATCTGAATTAGTTAAAGTAATATTTAAAGAGCAAGCAGGAAAGCCTTAGGCTTTGGAATAACTGCTTCTAAATGCTCAGGTTGGCATCAGCACCTCTGGATTCTGCTCTCATTTTTCTCACTTGGATTCAGTTTTTGACAAACCAGTACATGTCACTCTGTTCTGAGCAAAATGAAGATATTACAGCTGCCCTGAAGTGGCAGCCTGAGTGAAAGACGCTCACAAGCCTGAGAGAATGCCCTTGTCAAAGTGTTCTTAGATCAAAATAACCAGTTGCCCCAGCATGACTGATTTAGAGAACCCACTGGAAATGCCTGCCCCAAGGCAGCAGCTGTTGGGTTACTGCTTGGCATTTGAAATGTTCTGTTTCAGTATCTCGAGTTGCACTGCTATTGTAATCAGTTTATTCTTCCAACACAAGTCTATTGTTTTGTTCCATAAATTAATAAAAAACACTAAGATTCTATCTTTTCCTTTTACCTTTCTCTTCCTTTCTTGCAACTTTAAGACCCGCTTAGTACCTAGTATGTGCAGGGAGGGAAAGCATGGAGAGTGTCCAAGAGAAATGTACAAGATCACTGACACTTCCTTGACTGACAAATGAACCAGCTGAGTTTGTATGAGGTATCTTGCATTCTGAGATACTAAAAAGCAAAATGAAAGATAAGGAATACAAAAGGCTTAGAAATCCAAAATAGGTACTTTTAACTAATTTGAAGTTGTCAGCCATTTTGTACCGTTTTGTTTCAAAGAGATTGCAAACACTGAGTTTATCCACTGAAACTACAGAAGTTATAATATTTATAAACATATTAGAAAAAAAAGAAATCCAAAGCTCAAGGACAGAAGATGCTTCCACACACTTTAAACAGGATCATCTCCAGCTCATTGTAACTAAGCAATGTTGAAAGAAATTGTCAAGGTGACTCACAGCTTCGTCTTTGTCCTCAGGAGTTACTTGGACAGAACTTCTTTCTTCTTCCTTCTTGACTGATCTCTCATATAAATCACTGACGATAAATGAGGGGTAATATCTGTCCTTCAGAGTTTCATAAACATCTGCCTGAATTCTGTAGAATACTTCAATGCCTTTATTACCCACAAGACTTTGCTCTACTTCTTTATAAAGTGATTTTTCCACAGGTATTTCTCTGCTTTCCACAAAAAAATTCTGGTAAATGTCACTCACCAGCTGAGGTATTTCAGCCTGCAAAGCAAGGATGGGAGATGAAGAGAATAATAAATAACATTCACAATACCAGGATGGCTCTGGATCCAGGTGCATAACTTGGAGGGTGATCAAGCTGATTTTACGCCCAGATGAATGAGCATATTTGCAAACCTCTTACTGAGATCAGGCACTCTGCCTGTGCACCTGTGCAAAACAGTCCATTTCACAAGGTAAGCACTGATATTTGTTAAGTGAAGAAACAGCTGTGTTCTAAAATTATCAAAGCTCCTCACCCATTGCTTTTAAAAGCACACCGGAGACACGTGCACCAGGACAGGAAACTGGGTATTTTCAAAATGCAAAACCAATCTCCTATTGCACACTTTCTCTCTGGTGGAGAGGGAAATTAGTACTTCTGCCTATGAGGTATCATTTTTTATAGGTCACGATGCCACATTAAAAAAAAAAAAAACAGAAAACTATTGTCACTATCAAAGAAGTCCACAATTTTTAGTTGCCACACTATCCCCAGACATTAAGAAGCTAAAAAAAGAAGTCCAAAATTGCTCAGTACCCATCCTATAGCATTGCTATTTTAAAAGCAAGCAGATATCCTGATTCATATACAAGCCACATGGACTTGCAGTTTTTCCCACCTTGTTAGCACTCCTCAGGTTCTCCACAGACTCCCACAGATCAATCAAAGCCACCTTGTCCATTCTGTCCATATATATTCGAAAATGCTCTCGGTATGAAGGGTTGGCCAAAATTTCTTCAAACTGAAGAATCTGAAGAAAAGAAAAACAAGTGTAAAACCTCTCAAAATACCTACCTGGCACCAAACAGTAAATCTTCATCACTGATCTAGACTAGGGTAACTAAGGTAATCAAACTATGCTTCCAAGGTGAAGTTCCTAACAACCTGAATTCTTTCACTTGCTGCCCAGAGGTTTTCAAGTAGTTCAGCCACATTTTGTGAACAGAATTTAAATATGTCTTCAGCTCTTATGTCCTCTTGTTATCCAAAAGAGACAGCTGTACACACATGGGAAACAACAAAAACAAAGACAACTGGTTGTAGTTTGCTCATCTTCTGCTTTGAAAAAAGTTTACATTCTTTCTTTGCTACTCATGAATTACCATAACAACTCTGTGAATTTGGAGAAAGGCAAATGTTAGTAAATGCCCTTTAATTTTAAGGAAGATCAATAAGCATTCTTAGAATCACCTCGCCAATTTTTCTCCACATAAGCAACATCCATCTCAATCCAACAGGAGGTAGCTTGTGGGAAAAAATTCAGCCTTGAAGGTTTCAAAATGGCATTCTTAGGTAAGTCTGATTTTTTTCAGAATGCCTTGAATAATCCCCAAATTTCCTCATGTCATTGTTCATGGTGCACTGTAATAATTCATTTATTCACAGACACTGCATCTCAAATTAATTCTGATATTCAGCACTTCATTTTGAGCTCACTTGGCTTTTCTTAGTTTGCTACATGATGTGGAAGCCCACTCCTGCCGGAAGACACCACCATCTTCAGCAAAACAGAAATTTCAGCTCTCCTTTATATCCCCACATGCCATACCACCACTTACCCTGACATTACATGATTTTACATTCTGAAGCTCAGAAATCACAGTGAAAATCTTACCAATCACCAATTAAATCAGAATCTATCCAAGGACCATGGAAGCAAGCTCTTCCAGTATCATTACGAGCACAGACTCCCTGCAACTTAAAACCTCTCAGATAGCTTCTGGATAGTATTCTCTTTGGTACCTCACAGCAACTCTTACCATTCACAGACCATAGCTACACTAAGGAGATGCTGCAGCTCCATGGACTATGTCACAGACGTGGCCATGATTATTTGTGCTCTGTACAAAAGCCATGAACAAGTTATTTGCTAAATGAACACAGGCAAGAAGAACTCAATTAACTTACTGCAGTGCCGCAAGTAAAATTTCTAAGAAAAAGGTCCAGGAGAAAATAAGAAGAGATGTGTTATATATTACACTAATTAAAACTCTATTTTCTCTGAAAGCAAATCTAACACCCAGGGCACACAGTAAATCAGAATCAGAGCTACTGACAATTCAGATTCAGGTGGTAGCTGAGTGCCTTTGTTCATTACTTTTAAACATTTGATTATAATTTACACATTTGAAATAATGGGCTAAGTGAAATGTGCAAAATCAGTACAACCTTGTGACTCATACATATTTATGAAAGAAAAAAGTGACACTTTTATAATTATCTTCTGCTATAAAAAAAAGTATTTCTAAGCACATCATTTTTGTTTCTTAAATCTGTAACAGGAAAACTGACAACTCCAGATAATCCATCCTCACATTTAAGACCATAATCAGAACATAAAGCCTTACCAGCACCTCTATTACTGCCCTAGAACTGCAAGAAAGGCAAAGTAGGAAGCAGAAATGAAACCAAAATATGCATTTAGGCCACTGGTCGATTTATTCTTTATTCAGCTAGCACCAAACATTTCCCAGAGTTAATGATGTATTCAAACTCCTGTACTACACTTGCATAAAACAATAATTCAGAACACTATCAGTAAACATCTGTTTCTGACCTATTTCATACACATTAAAGGCAAAATCCCAAGTTTTTTACTACAGGAGCTAGCTATTCTGCAGGTTAAGCACTAGCTTAACAGAAAAGCTTTCACAACAGGCTTCAACAAGAAGTTAAGGGACAGCAGCAGCAACTTCTACATCAGTTTACCTGCTAAATTTTAAAGGAACATTTTGTCCCGTTGCTGTGAAAAACCCAAAATGCCTGTACAGAAGGGGCTGGGGGCCTTTAAGAGCTCAGACTGCAGCTACTGCAATACAGGCAGTGGATGAGAAGGAATGACAGTGAAGGCAGTCCCCCACACAAAGCCAAGCCCCGGGCATTTCACTGTGCTCAGCGAAGAGCAGCATGGCTGCTGCCTTGTGTTCAGGCTCCCTGAGCCTCTTTTCTGGTCGCACTGCACTGGGAACAACAGAACAGAAAAGCAGTTTTCCTGTTTACTGCTCTGACATGGATGAGGGGGAGGTTTTTGGTTTCTTTGTAGAAACATATCAAAACGTGCAGAAGCAGAGAAGCACTAGATCCTATCACTTGTACTGCCAATGCAACCATCAGCACCCCTACCCAGTGCACCTTCACTACCCGACCCCGTTTCTCTAACAGATGTATCCAGGAAGCACAGACCCTCTCAGCAGGCCCTGAACAGTCTGCTCAGAAGCATCAGTGACCTTCAAGGTTCTGCCACATGCTTCTCTCTGCCTTTTTCCCACTGGCACCACTTGCTCCATTCAACTTCAGGAAACAGCTCTGGGCTGCCTCAGCACAATCTTTGACAAACTATCTGAAATGGCTCTTGAAGGACAAGTGGAGGGTGGAGAGCTGCCCTCTTTAAACCACATTCACAATGAGCGATGCGTAACCGGTAAGGAAGAGTTGCATGACAGAGAAACAGTACACTCAGTTACAATTATTATAAGGATGCAACAAAACTTGGAAATCCTGCAAGAAGGGTTAACTTCTTTGTTCTACCTACACAAAAAGATAAAATCTTCTAATCAGAATACAGAAATTGCTTGCTTTGCCCAGAGGGGCAGAGTAAAGTACACAAGGAAGCAACTAAACAAAATTTAGCCAGACTAATTAGCTATGATTTTATTTTTGTAGCTGCTGACTAATGCAACAGCAATTATGCCTGTTGTTTTATTGTTTTTTTTTCCATTCCTAGAGTAGAGTGACGTAGAAAATAAGCAGTCAACAGTCTTAAGAGTTTCTCCTGCAGGGACTGCTCTTAGTTTTACTAGTTGCTTTCTACAAGTAAGTGTTTGCTTTTGAGTAACTCAGTATTTACAAAACCCACAGGTATTTCCTACAGTAAATATAACAAGAGGCAATGAAACATTACGCATATGTTGAACTCTTTTGAAATAAAGTTGCTGCCACGATCTCACGAATTCCCTGCACACAGTATGCCAGCTAATCCTGATTTTCCACAGTCAGCAACGTTCCAACCTGGATGATCAATGAGTCTTTCCAGATACTACAGCAGTTATTTCCCAACAAAAAATGTACAGCAATTAATTTACACTTCATTCCTGAGGGAAGGGAGGATTAATGACAGCAGAGTTAATATGAACCAGGGCTAGCACATTTAGAATGACCTTCAGGCTATGTAAGAACTATTCAGTTCATACCTTCTGACTCTGAGAGCCATCTCCTTCATCAGAAAAGCCGTCCTCCTGTTGATCATAAGCAGGCCCCCCCAGGATCCTTATTCTCTTCTCACATTGCTTCTTTGCTACTGTCAACTGATTAATATACCTCTTCATGTTGCGAGCTCTCAGCAGGTCAGCTTTCATTGCTGCAGTTTCTTTCCCTTTTGAATCTGAGAAGAAAGCAAATCAGAGATCATTTTTTACAACACAAAAACGTTATCTCCACAGTGCCTCTGCGCCCTGTGTGATCACAGCATTTGTCATTTGGGAATCAACTGTGCCCATGAGTACAGCTGCTGTGAAGTTTGTATATGAATTTGGATTATTTTGAAATGTTCTCCAGTGATGCCTCGTGTTTATATAAAACAGTTCGGGGGGAAAAAAAATGTCCATTGAATGCTGATTTATTCAACTCTCTCACCATCATTTGCTGTAAGACACGGATTCTAAATTTTTACTACAGGTTGTACATTTCTCAGACAGCATTAGGTGCTACCTGCAGCCATAGTGTACAATAAGTCACTGAGTGGATAGTTTACATACCTCACTGAACATAAACTGAACATAACTATGACTGAATACAACGAGGACCAGACTCAATCCTTCCCAGCTCAGCATTCCATATTCCCATGCATATCACTTGTAAATCCAAATTTCTTGAGCTAGATGCAAACAGCACAACATATGGTCTCATCCCCAGACCATATGAAAAATTGAGATGACTAAAAAAAACTAATAATGCCCCAGCAAGACTGTACAATTCTGTTGAGTAGTGAAGTAATGAGAAAGACAGTCAGCTGAACAGGGCTTGGTAACAGAAGGTATGATGTTTGAGTATTCTATTTAGTTATTAAGAAAACCTAAGAAACAAAGCAAAACAAAACTTAGCAGATAAAGCATATAAAAAAACCTGAGCTGAAATCATGCCTGTTTTGTATAGCTGCAGGGTGCAACTGATTCACATTTCTACATTGGTTTTAATATCCTCCTGCTCCAGAAAACATTCCTGCTTTTTCAGGTTGGAACTAGAGCTCTGTAGCAAAGTACTTGGGCTTCTATTCAGCTCAGGATTAATTCACTGCTCAGGGATAAACTACAGAGATGTATTGTGCTATTTTTTTGAAATATCAAATGTAATAAAATGTTGTGGATAAAAACAGCATTCCATTTGCAGAACAGCTACGAGAAAGAAACAACCATACAGCTAGATTCTGTGAACGCATACAAAGAAAAAGGAAACCTTTTTGGAATGACTTCAAATAGGTACCTGAAATACATTTCTAATACACTGAACTATCTTTCCTTTTAGATTTTTTTTTTCCTATTTATTTACCCTTAAAAGCAACATGTGAATATCTTCATGAGCTCTGCCCTTCATATACTGAGGGGCAACTCAAAGCGTGTAGAGATCCATAAATCCCTACATATAACATGAATACTGATATACTCCCAAAATATTTTACTATATTCTTAATCTTACTTCTTTTGCTGCACGTATTTATACATGTTAGTATGGAAGCTTCCTGATTCACGGACTGTTAGTGTGTCTTATTTGCTAAGTATCATTTACATCTGAGCTGCCACATAATAGTGAACTACATAGATAATACTCACTGAAGCAAAAGATAAAATGAGTTTACCATGAAAGAAATAAGCCATCTGTTTTCCTGGCATGTTATCTCCACAGGGAAGTCAACAGAGCATTTAATTTAGTGTTTCAGTTCCCTGACGGGAGGTACCAGTATTACTGAGGGAAAAGGAGAGAACAACAAAAGGAAAAAGAAGGAAGAAACCTGAAGCACAAAATAGTTCTCCCTCACATTAAATATACTGACAATACAAATACACTGACAGTAGATTGAATTTGAAAGATTAAAACCCACCATTTCCCTTGCTCCACCCGACTTCAAGATGGTTTCTGGAAGTTCACAGTTCTCTCAAAAGCTTAAATACTTTGGGCTCAAAATGCATGCATACTGACAAGCATAGGCCTGACAGAACCACTGCCCAAATCCTCCTCACCTCTCCTTTCAGCTATAGTGCCCACAGATAGACCCACACATCCTCATCCCCTGCGCTAGCAACTGCCATGCATCTTAGAATCATTAAGGTTGGAAAAGACCTCTAAGATAATCTAGTGCAATTGCCCACCTTCCACCAATATTGCCCACTAATCCACATTCCTCAATACCACATCTACAAATTCTTTAGACATCTCCATGGATAGTGACTCCACCACCTCCTTCAGTGCGTGCCAATGCACTGCCACTCTTGGAGAAGAAATAATAATCCTAATATCTACTGTGAACCTCCCCTGGTACAACTCCTCAGCCTCCTCTTCTGACTGCATCTTTCTCCCTTACTCCTCTGCAGACAAAGCTGCCACTCTGCAGAGCTGACTGACTCTTACTGCTCAAAACCCGACACTTTCAAAGTCAATGACCAATGCCATATAATGACCTTCTTAAAACTTCCTTAGCAAAGAGCAACACGTTCTCAGAGGGTTTTAGAGGAAAACGTGCTTATTACGTTGTCTTACATCCTGTGATTGTAGAAGGCCTCCAGGAAAGAAAAACAAACCCTACACCACACCCGCTTCCTGGGATGAATTACTTTGAAAATACCTTCACACCCATAACGAGCCACTCCATGTCAAAACCACTTGGGGTGGAGAGCTGAAGATCCCACTGCCAACCCACTCCTGTCAGCAGGAGAGCCTGGCATTGAGGTCCCCCTGCCAACAAACAGGAGGCCCATGCAGAGCACTGCAGCGAGCAACGTGCTCTTTTCAATCCATCCTCTCCTGTTACCACAGCACTGAAATACAAATACAAGCCTTTTCACCATTTCTGAGAATCAGTATGTTCTCTACATTCAGACATCCTGGCAAAAGCCAGTTAAAACCAGAACGTTACAGAAGCAGCAGCTTGCATTTATTCACATATCCTACAGTAAGCACCAATAAAGGGAAGAGAAGCAGACATGCTACTAATGCTGTTCCACCACCATGCAAAGAAAGAAAATGCAAGATTTGGACAATTATTTACTAGCAAAACTTCACAATTTTCAGATGTTCCCCCCCCCCCCCCCCTTGAAAACAAACAAACAAACAACCTGCTTCTCATCAGCAAAACGAGACACATGCTTCCTCCACAAGCTGCACATGACTTTTCCAGCAGCAGTTAATCAGGAACTTCTTCACTGTCCCTTTCTCCATAGGCTTCTCATTTTAATAGTTACACTGCAAAAATGTAACTGAAATGGAAACAAGTCTTGTTCTTTTAGAGCTTGGAGAAAGACAGTTGCAAGTCACCTGGCAACAAGCACAGCAGCACTGACTGTCTCCAGTCCCTGGAGGAACTGCACATGCGTGACTTCGTATGCATTTCTGTAGAACCTTTTTGCAAAAGCTCAGCTTAGCACATGCACAGCCTACTTAATGCTACATTAAGCTGAAGTTCTACTGAGCATTTAGGCCACTACTCTGACATTTAACAAGAACCACAAATTTACAGAAAGATAATAGAATTGTACATCTACCTGACCACTGCAGGGCTAATCAAAATTGTATATAAAGGAGGGCATTCTCCAGATGCCTCTCAAACACTGACAGATGTGGGGCATCAACCACCTCACTAGGAAGCCTGTTCCAGTGTTAGACCCCCTCACCTCAAATGCTTCCTCATGTCCAGTCACTTGAAGGGACATTATGGAGAATTCAGGTGCTGATTCTTAGAAACATATAGCACAACACACCCTTCAACATCACAGTGACTATATGGTAAATTTGAGTGTGGGAGAAAGTATGTTCTTTACAGCTACATAACTCTGACCACATATAGCCTCTATGTTCCTCTTGGTCACTTCTGTCTGACCAGTCAGCCTTCCTCCCACCCTCTTTTGGCCATCACTAGCTCACACAAAGGATCTCAGGAAAAGGAAGCAGCAGCTCCTCTGGGGAGCTCACTTGAAAATAACAAATGAAAAGAATCAGTCTGCCACAATCAGAGTCATTTCATTTCCATCCGCAAGAATCACACAGGCACGGCCTCACCAGAACTCAGTGGAGGATTCCTTCCATATATTCATGCAAGTACAGCTGTATGCAGCTCTTTAAACACTGCCAACAAGCTATGCAAAAATAGTTGTGCATCCCTTTGTGGGAGATGGTGTGGTGGGAAGGCATAATCTAGTTTTGTCATAATTAAGTTAGATGGCATCTGTAATGCACTGGAACAGATCAGCATCCATCTTACTCCACCCGAAATTATCTTCCTGACAAAACTCACGCATCACAACCCACTCTTCCAAGTCAGTTTGGAGTCTGAGTTTCCAAAAGAAAAGCCCCTTTCTAAAGCTGAATGTTCAAGCACCTTTCAGAACTACAGTACGTAATGAAGCCTACCCACAGGCAACTCTGTTTCTGCGTAAGCCTTCAGCTCCACTTCAAAACCAAGTATCTAGATGCACAGTGGAAATGCTCAGCAGTAGAAGCCTACTATCACTCAGTAGATTTTTTCATTCAGAAATAAACAGCTGCTTTTTCAGTCTGTCTCACAACACCTGCTTGAAAAGGAACAATTTTCCTCAACAAAGATGTGGTCAGTTACAGTGCGGTATCCAAAAATCAGTTCTAAACTGCCATGGTTTCTGGTCATGCTGTCACACCGATGATGGAGAGTGAAGAAAAACAGAAGGTAAATAAAATAAATCCATTCAGAATATTGGAAACTGTCCTCAAAGAGATTTGCTCGGTGTTACCTGAAGACAACTACATACAGCAAACTTTCAGGTAAGCATTTGTAGTCTTTCAAAACGTGAAGGATACATGTTTTGTACAGAAAAATGGAATTCCTAAAATGGAGGCTCAAATTTGATTCAGTATTTCCAAGAGATCAATTCTCACCAAAAGGTAAGATAAAGTTGGATATTGGTTTTCATTTTTCAGGAAGATGTACAAAGATGTTATTTTTCCAACCAGAGCACGTGTGGTTCAAGAAAAGAACACGGTCCAAAAATATCAACAGGATGAAATAAGGATGAGTAAAAAACAAATCTCCTTGTACAGTCATTGCTGCAATGATGCTGACAGTTTCGGAAGAGGGTATATAGAAGGACAGTTAGGAGAAAAAGCAAATGCTGAAGGCTTCAGCAATCTTGTGCATGCATGAATGGGGAATGTAGTGTCAGCAAGCAAGATAACAGCTTCTACTTACAACGGCCTGCACAACTCCAAAAATAAATTGTCAGCACCTCTGCAAACATTAATGCTACACTAGGTTTCTTACTGTTCACCTTCAGCAATGACTGAACACAATCCTGGACACAGAAGTTACATCACCCATCCACAGCAGCACTGTAAACCTCTGAAATTATTCTGCTCTTTTAAGATATTTGACTCTCTCAGGGAGTCAAATGCTAAACCTATTGCTTAAAATGGATTGGATGCTTTTGTATACCTTCCTTTGCTCTTCTAGGCTCATATGCCAAAAGATTCAAGTAATAAAATCTGAAAAGGAAAAAGACCCTATAACATGCCATTTTTTCCACTAGAGATGGTTTAATACAATGATGTTCAAAAGTACTTTCTGCTTTTCTTAAAAAGCTTTAACAGCTAGACATTTTGCCAATAGGTGGCACCAACACGAATTAAATTAAGAGCTTTGTCCTTGCTGAGGGACAAACATTCCTCTCAAACACCTCTGTGCACTGGCATTAAATGCATACTTCGTTGTTACTGAATCAAGCCATACAAAGTCAGGGAACCATAGCTCGTATTAGAAGTCATCATGATCTCAAGCAACTTATTCTTAAATAATAAACACCTAATACTTATCGTAAACCAAAACATTTTTGGTCTCATCAATCAACTGCAAAGGTACACATACCTGTTCAGTCCTACTTATTGCTGGTCCTGTACTTGCACAGTTTACTTCATTACATAGCAGCTAGCCACTCACTGCTGTCCACTCATGCCGCATCAACTGCTTCTCACAGCTGTTGCTGTACCTTTTCTTACTGAAAACACTGTGTCAGGAAAATCCCATGCCTCAAGCCGTTTGTTATTTTTATTATGTGCCCTAAGTCAATACCCAGGCACTAACAATGAAGGCGCATTCTCACAACGCAACCCTGCCATCAGAAAATGGAAATAGCTACAAGTTAAGACCAACCCCAGGCTGGAATCAAAGGGAAGAGATGCCCACTACACAAAAGACAGCGGCTCATTTACTAGTAGAAAAAGGGCAGTATCACACACTGACCAATCAGACGATTACAGATAGGCAAACAGGTACTGGGGAAAGAGATTTAAAAAAAAAAAAGAAAGAAAAATAGGAATGTGTAAACACTCCCATTTTGCAAAAAGCTCATGTGTATAGCTACTGACCATGAAATCTAGCAGTTGCAAGGTAGTGATATGCTCTGGCATGAAGAAAGGAAGCTATGAAATGGTAACACTACTAAAGTGGTGGTCTGTTCTATGAGCATTGATTTTCCTGTTTGGTTGTTTTCTTCCACGTGGCGCAAAGCTGTGCTCTGTGCATGTGTGTTCATTCCAATGCTTAAAGAAGGTACGACGGATCCTTTTTCTTTGAACTCTCCTTCAGATCCGTCATCAGATTAAAAAAAACATGTTTTTATTCCTTCAAAAGGAAACAAGAAAACCAAAACACAAAAACCTTTACAAATATGTATTTAACCCTCTACAGTCTGGGGGTTGTTCTTATAAGTTTTGCTGTGAACCGACTGAGAATGGAAACTTATGGAGATGAAAGCCTTAGTAGAGAAAATAAAAGGTAAAAAAATCTGCCTTTAATGTGCTGAACTACAATAGGATTGTACTGTAGGCTAGAGCTGAACATACTGTTCCACACAAATCAAAAGACATCATTTTCTTGAGGAACAGTTATTTAAATATAAAAGCTCAGTTGGAAGGGATCTTCAAACTGCCTGACTGCCACACAGAAACCTGAAGTACATAAATGAGAGCACTGTCCAAACACTGTTTGAACACTGACAGTGTGGGGCATCGACCACTCCACTAGGAAGCCTGTTCCACAAGAGGCCATAAAAAAAAAAAAAAGGCAGAATCAGCTTAACCACAGAATAAGTGGAACTTATCTCCTTTGTCAGAACAAACAGCACCAGGATTTTTACATCTATTTTGCAGAGCAAGGCACTTGCAGCTTCAGAAAAGTCTCTTCTCTTCAGTGCTCAGTGTATAGTTAACTGGATAAACTCCAGTGAGACCAAAAAATGATCATCAGTAATTAATTGCAGGAGCCTAAACTCCAAAAATATATTCCCCAAATCAATTCTTCTCACAACAATGCTGCACAAATGGAAATACAAGCTTAGCAAGATTGATTTTTTTCATAATGTACTCAGAGTTAACTTCCCCGTTTCATTTTATTACTTTATAAAACACATTCTCTATTCAATTCTCATCTAAGAAGCGTTAATATTTCTCTGTGATGCATGCTTGCACAAAAATTAATGCTAACTTTGCCTCCTTTTGGTACAATCAATATACCCCACAGGGATGGATATCTAACTCTATTTTAGGATGTAAAAGAAACGTACATCAGTGTTGTATTTTCAGAAATTCAAGGACAGACTCCAAACTCTTCAGACTAATAATCAAATTGTCTCCCAGCCAACCCCATGCCTCCTGGGGTGCTTCTTCTCCATGTTTCTAAATTATTTTTTCTTCCATTACACCCATATCACCTTTAAAAGCTTTCCTATGTGACACAAGGAACTAAACCCAAGATCTCTTTAGTTTAGTTTACAAACAAATCCATTCTTATAACAGAATCATAGAATGCCTTGAGTTGGAAGGGACCATAAGGCTCCCCAGCTCCAACCTCTGCTGGGGGCTGGGTGCCCCCCACCAGCTCAAGGCTGCCCAGGTCCCACCCAACCTGGCCTTGGGCACCTCCAGGGAAGAAGCACCCCCAGCACTCTGTGCAGCCTCAACACCCTCTTCCTAACACCTAATCCATGAATGTTCAATCCCCTGGCTTGCCTGAGCTACGCTGAATGAAAAATTGTCAATGGCTGCACCTATGAAGGTTGCAGCACAAGAAATGCCTTCTAATTATTTTCATAGTAACAAGAATAAATACAAAGAGCACAATAGCACTGTTTCATAGAGCAAATTCTCAGCTACACAACACACTTTTTCAACAAAGTTACCAGCATTAGCTCTGCTTCGCACATACTTCCATACCAGAAATCATTCTGTCAGACTGCCTCTCTGCTGCCATCTGTCACACAGCAACAAAATGTAATGAATATTGGTGGGAAGGTTCAACCTCTACTGCTATACCACCAACATCTGCCACAGGTATTGTAGGCCAACATCATAAAATAAGAGGCGTTACTTTTGGAACAGTCTTCATAAAAACTGTGGGTGATGGGCTGCACTGATATCAGGACATGCCTGATAACTTAAATCTGCTCTTTTTTTAGTTTAAAGCCATCTCCCCTTGTCCTGTCATTATCAGACCATAAAATATGTTGGTCCCCTCCTGCTTGTAAACTCCTTTAACTCATATTGTCCATTGTTTTCTATTATGGTTAGGTGGATCTCAAACATATCTGTTCAAGCAAAAATTTTGTTTGATAGTTTTTCCATCAATAAAATCTCTTGAAGATATCCCACAGCTCTGGTACATTTTGAGAACACCCATAAAAAAGTATATACATCTTCAATATAAGCACAAATGTAAGATGCAAGTTCACATGCATTTCAAAAGGTAGATGTTGCCAAATCATTGCAGAGGGATTTAAGAGCACTCTGTACTGCAACATAAAAATGCAATATGATGAGTCAAAATAAAGTCTGACTAATAATTACACTGCAATTCCTAATTCTGTGCTTTGAAAGAACAGATACTTTAAAGAATGGATTGCAGGAATAAATAAGAGCAAGCAACATTCTCAGCATAAGAATTTGCAGTGCCAGAAATCCAAGATGCAGCAAGTTCTGAAGATTAAAAAAAATATAGCTGCAATCTTTTTCTTGACCCATCAGCTTAGATGGGAACAGTACGGCAGGGGGGTGGAAATACACCATGGAGATTTTAGAACAATCAGGCAAATGAAATAGAACTGAGATACTAATTGCACAGCATTCCTAAAATCTGTCTAAAAATCCCCCATAAACTGATCTATTTCTGGAATTCAGATAGCTTTGCAAAATGAAAACAACAGATATGACTGGTAACAAACAGGATTCTTACCTTTCTGCCTCTTCACTTGGGGAAAATTGCTGATTGTGGTTGCCTGAACTATTTCCACTACAATCTGATACCTAGTTTTAAAAACAGCAGCGGATAAAGAGGGAGGAGAGAAAGAAAAAAAAGAAACGACAGTGTTAATTATTACCTATCTATAATATATATATGTATATTTTTTTTTTTTTTTTTTTTTTACAGTACATTCCTTATACAGCATAATTAAGAATGAATAAAAAACACCTCCCCCTTCCCTTAAAACTGAGCTGTTGCTCAGTATGTTTACAACCTAAGCAATAGTGCACACAGGGAAGAGAGCAGGGAAAAAGACAGTCTTGAAACAAATGGAAAACTCCCAACTTGCAATAGTATTCCTTTCTCTCTAATGTTTCCACGGCACAGACACTTAGTAAACACAGTAAGTCATGCCTTTAACATGAAGAGTAAATACAAATTTGCTGTAGGAAACTAGGATGGGAATTCAGTTCAAGATCAGACAGCTGTATATTAAGGTTCTTCTAGCTAGCGTACAAATATGGAGCTTTTGCACTTCTAGGGGGAAGAAAAAGTTCTAAAGTACTCCACCCGAGGAATAATTATAAGCAGCTTATCACCCAGATCTATACTATACACAACGCAAAACAGCTACCACAGTTAGTAAACTGAATTTTAACATCAGTTTTGTAACAGCAAAGGAAACAGTTTCCAATTAAATCTTCTACAAACATCAAAATCTGGGTCATGGCAACCTTTCACATTTCTCTCAGCACATTTACTTTGGAAACTAGTAATACCAGTAATAAAGAAGTCTTCCAGTAAATTTAACTAATCTCTGTAGGAGTTACCTAACCTCGATCGACCAACTCTGATAAAGCCTAGTGCCCCATGGGAAGTCTTCCATGACTACTTAATCCTCTGTTTAAGAGAAGACCTGTGACCCATAGAATATATGGTCCTTCATCTACGGTTCACCAATGTTATCCATTTCTCCCCATCCTTCCTTCCTCCTGTAAATTTTTTAGTGTTTGTTTGGACAACCTTTGCCTCTTCATAAGCGTACTGCTGTACATTCACTTCCAACTACACTTTCCAGGTGTTTTTTTCTGCAGTGATCCTGATTCTACACAACTCCTTCAACACCAAACAGAAACTCAAGAAGCTGATTTACCTAAGCAGTAATTCTATGATAACATGTTTGCAAATATTTCATTTTTTAACCCTATTTCCTTTTGCCATTATTTTTCCCTCATTTCCAGCTATCACCATAGTTCTTGTTCAATAGTTTGGAGTAGGAAAAGCCCCACAAGGAGCCTGCTCTCTGTGGAACTCTCTGCTCAGACACAGGATTCCCAAACAATTCTGAGCAGCTCACTTAGGCTTTTGGTGCCTTGGTTCTTTCATCTGTAAAATGGGCCACTCACCTCACTCCAGCATTCTAAGGTTAAAAACACTGGACATGATGAAATTACCAAGCACCACAGAACAGACAACCAAATAAATACTACCATATGGAAGGTGGTCCCCACTTCTACAGCTTCCCTTCTTCCAAAATTTACACCCATTTGTTCACATTCCTGGTTTTATACGTTACCAATATCAATACAATAGTAAGCCTTTTCTTCTGTTCTTTACTTTAAGGGAGATGCTCCAAGCTACATCCCCAAAGACATCATTTAACCTGATCCTCCTGGGCCCAAACCACCACCCCAGTCACACTGACCTGCCAGGCTGCAGCCCTTTTTCTCTACAAGTTTGGTCTGAACATTCTAGCTGCACACCCTGTGGTGACAGGTGAGTAAACATCTCTGAAACTTCTAGAAGAAGTGACATACTCATTTGATTTTCAAGAAGTGAACTGTACACAACAAACAGGACCAATCTCAGTCTCACATGTACCTTCCCACTCTTATCTCTTCCTCAGCTCTTTGTCATGTTCATCCCTTTCCCTCACATCTTAAGTAAAAGACAGCACAGAACATGAGATAACAGCCCTTCTTACCATGAATTGCTTATTGACCTTCTGCTGCTCTATTAATAACAGAATAAATAAAACACTTTTAAAGCAGAAGTAAGAAGCAGCCAGCACCATGGCTGGCTTATTTCCTTATCACTGTTTACTCCATACTACGTTAATTCATCCTGTCTTATCTCCAGTATTCTTCTGACAGAAGTAAATTCATTTCACATCTCATGCAGAAATCATCTTTCCTTCCTCATTCGTAGCAGCCTTCCAATTTATCTATGCTAACTTAAATCTGAGGAGAAACGAGGGTGAAATTTCCCTGTATAACTCTCTTCTTGAAAGAAATAAGGAACAACACACTTTGTGGAGACTTGATACGATAGAAATTAAACTTTGCCTCACTTCATCATAACAACAAAGGTAAATGTTAGAAGGGTGACTTTGAGAGAAGTTTGTAGATAACAACATTCCCTTCCCTGGAAGCTTTTTTTTTTTTCCCCCCCCCAAACAAATCCTAATTTTAAGAACACAAAGCTATGAATGGGAAAAAAGAAGAATTACAAAATACATCCTCAGAAAACTCTCAATTACTTTTTACAAAAATAAACATCAGTTCTACAAATGTCCCCGACAAAAACAGAAAGATGTTTCCAAAAAGCAGAGAAATTCTGTTAAGAGATAAAGTGAACAAAAGTCAGAGGCCCTGTACAGATATTAACGAACTGTGAATTCAAAACTTTTACAGAAGTAATGATAAATAGCTCTTGCAGCACTTAAGTTATACAAAGAGAAACCATACAACCAACACAAAAATAGTGTTGTTTTTTTTTTCCTCAAGGCAATGCTTCTAACCACGGAGAGGAACAAAAAGATTTAGAAAATCTTAGCACCATTACTAGCCTTTAAGAGAAAGACTTTTTGCAAGGCAGAAAGCAGGTACACTTCCTTAGAAGGAGATGCAGCACACACAGCTTCTCCTTCCTGATCTCCTCACCAAAAGCAACAAAATCCTTTACCCACAGGTATTTGATGATCTAGCTGAGAATTCTTCCCTACTTACCAATAACATATACCTGATTCTTGTCACAAGAAAGCTTAACAAGGCCGTGCTAATGAGATCAGCCTGAAAAGATACTCTGGGGTGGTGGTTTGGGCCCAGGAGGATCAGGTTAAATGATGTCTTTAGGGATGTAACTGTGCTGTAATGTCACATGCATACATATTAGAGCATTCAGGAACTTGAGCTTTCTTGGCCACAGCCAGTCAAGAGTCTGAGGAATTTTTATCAGTGCTTCACAGACTGTTTTATTCAACAAAACATTTTATGTTTATTTTAGTAAATAGATGGTAATTAAATTCATCTGCCAAGATAAAGCACAGCAGGGATGTTTCAAAGAAATATTGAGTTTCCCAGCAACTACAGTGCCTCGGGATAATTTCCTGAAAGCTAAGCCTACACAAAAAATTGTAACTACTTAAATTCATTCTTCTCCAAGATGTTACGTGGCAACATCAGTAGCAATAGGAGGAGGCTGAACATTCATAAATGCCTTTTCACCAGCTATTCTGAGCTGGTGTATAAGATTTCCAAGTAAAACCAGGAAACAAAACTTGTGATAAATGAGTTTTATTATTCAGAAAAGACAGGTTTCCTAGTTGGATGCTAAGTACAGCATACCAGTAATTTATTTCCAGTAGGATGACAACTGGAAGCACTCACCTCACTCCCATCACTCTAAAGGAACCTAACTATGCTCTCTTGAGTTCCAAGGGCTTATTTTGCTCTTAGATGGTTTAACTTTTAAGTTGTCCTGTGTAGAGTCAGGAGTTGGAGTTGATAATAATACTTGCGGGTCCCTTCCAACTCAGGATATTCAGTGATTCATTAATACTCTTTAATTTCTTCTTTATAAGTTTCTACCGTGGTTTGCGGATGGGAAATACAACCTGAAATACTACTTAGTGTGTTCATCTCAAGTATCATTTGTTTTGCTCATCCATATAGAGACTGCTGTTTGGTTTCCTTGACATAAATCTGCTAATTCTCTTTGGCATATTGTGAAAGCTTTACAAAATATACTATCTAACTTGGAGAGGACTACGGGTAGGCCCATTTCTCTTTAAGTGCTGGAGACCAAAAAGAAGAGGAATCTCTTCTCCCACAGGGGAATGCTTTCCATGGATGTTTCCATTATGGACAGGCTCTGCATAGCAGAAGAAAGAGCACAGTCCTCAAAATCAAACACTATTTTTCTCTTTAAAATTAAATTAGATTTTCTTGAATATTTTCCATTTAAATACTGATCAGTATTACACAGGGTGCAGAACATATAAAATGATAGTTGTCAGACTCCACAGGGCAGAAAAGAAAAAACCTCAGTGCAGCCAAAACCATATAATTCCATGAAGCAAATTCACTACCCAATATTAGAGAACACAGTTTAGGATGACCTATCTGCTAAAAAGAGAGCACAATGAGTGCATTAATATGCCAGAAGAAAAACAACAGAAGAGTTGGGTTTCTTTTGAAACAAGCAGATCCATTAGTGTGATTATGCTTCTAAATATGACGTCAATTAGGTTTTAGATGGAGTCTAATAGAGACTAATTTCTGCTCTCAGTAAAGGCACACTGGCCCAGTGTAAAGAGCAAATTTTACAGCAGATGAGCAGTAAGTAGCCAAGCAACAAGATCATTTCACCATCACCTAAACGCATTTTCCTGTCTCAGAAATGCAAGTGGTTTCAGAATCAGGGAAAAGAACAACAGAAAGTATTTATGCTGCCCACAATATTCCATCTTGGTACACCCATCACTTGGTCTGATCAAGCTGAGTCTAACAAAAGGTTTGGGTCACAACAGATGACCCAGAGTGCTCCAAATGGAATCGATGTGCTTGTGTCTTTCAGATGTTGCTGCAGCCATTTAGGAAGAAAGCTGACTTGTGGCAGCAATTAAAGTGAGCAAGGGAAAAGGAAAAATAACAGTTCTGGCTAGTGGTGACAGATTAGGACCCGTACTCTGAAAATGGGTTCAACAGCTTTCTAAAGCTTTAGTATGCTCAACAAAACCACAACAATACAAAAATTCTATCTGGATATTACTCCTCTGACCTGCTACCCAGGCTTCACTTGCTCTTTATCCTTTCTCTTGCATCAGAAATCACAGGAGAAACAGCACAGCTGTAAATATAAAGCCAGTATAAAGATCATCTCATGCTTGAGCAAACAAGTTCAAGATGCATGTGGGTATGTTATGATGGAAGTCGGAAGGAAAATTAGGTGGCAACTGAGATTTTTTGAAAGGAATGGAAAATAAGTACGAAAGGGTGTACATATTATTTTACTGGGAAACAGCAACAAGAAGCCCATTGAATATGTAGGAAACAGGGTTTTCTTAACATCTTTAAGGTACTTTTCACAGTTCATCAAAATGTTTAAGAAGGATGCAACTGGGAAACAACTCCCTGCAACAGTCCAGAAACACCTCTATGTCACTGGTAAAGTGTGCTGGAACTCAAACCATTCTATGCCAGAAAAATCACACACTGCAAACTGTGCTGAGTTCCAGCTAAGTGGAATTTTTTAACATTTTCTACCATGAAACTGAGAAGCTGACTATATTACAGATTAATGAATACTGTAGCTTGTCATCTTTACTGTCTCTGCTTCACCAAAAGAAAAAAAATTGAATTGAAAATACACTTCATTCAAATCTCAGTAACTGGCTAGCAAAAGCAGCACATTTAGTTTCAAATAAGCTATAGTGAAGTATCAAGTACCTCAATTGTTTCAGGAATTCAACATCGGTGTTGCTGCTAATCAGCTTGATGAACTCCTCATACGAAGGAGCATATGTGTAGTCTTTCTTCTGATGTTCATTCATCTGTTCTCTGTACTCCAGCTGGCTGAGTAGCATTTGGTTGATATAATCTGGATCACCCAGCAGTTCCACCACTGGTTTCAGTACTGGAGAGGAAAAATATTTTAAAACAAAATCCTTATGTTGAGGAGTAACTGTTGTACTTCACGAGAATACTACAGACAAAAGGCAAGAATAGATGCAAAAAAAAAAATCAATAAGAATTTCAAACCAGTCTCCAGGACTATAAAGTACGTTTGAGACCTCACGCATATCTCTTCATAATAAAACTGTTTGTGCCATTACCCAAACTAATGTACACTGATGAAGTTGAGTCTCATCTGGGAAATTTCAAGCATATTTTTCCTTTTGTTGTGTGTCTCGGAAACTATAACATTAAATTTTCATTTGTAATGGCTGTACAGTGAACTGAATTGCATAATGCTCTCACGGCTTCATAACTTCAGAGTTTGAATTCAATGATATTAAAAAATGTCAAGCATATTCATAATCTAATTAAAGCATATCTGATAAAATGAAAAGCATAATAGAAAACCTTCATTAAAAAACTGGATAATTCAAAGTCTAAAACAAATCAAGTCTGGTATCATAATTCAATCATAATCACATCTATGGATTCTGTGCATCTGAATGAAGCTCAACACATCAAAATTACTCATGCAGTCACTAAAAATAGTCACTGAAGACTGCAAAAGGGCTCCCCCATGGAAAAAAAATGATAGAAGGAATAGACAAAAGGAATTTTATCCTGAAAGGCGTGAGGAAACTTGGCAACAAGTCAGAACAGTCAAGTAAGTACGTGCTTAATTTGGAAAACATAAAGTGACTTATTGGCCATCACTGAAAATAAAATATCAGTACTTAAAAGCATAGCATCAAGACATACATAAAGATGTCTGTAATTATTAATACCATACATGTGTACATGTTTAATTAACTCTGATCTTTCATCTACCTTTTGTTGCAAGTATTTCTGCAAGGACTATGCGCAAGCTGACAGACTGGACATCCTTTGAGGGTAGAAGACAACACACCAGAATTTGAGAACATTTTTGCAGGAACCTTACTTCTTCATCAGAGTTCCTCAAGCATGGGTGCAACAAAAAAGGTCTCGGTGGATCTTCCTGCCTAAGAAAAGAAAGGTGAAAAAGAAACAAAAAAAACGAAGAGAAAGAAGGTGAGAGACATAACTTGCATACCACTTCTATTATGATTATTCACAATTTTTGAAAATATTAAAAACATGAAAAATTCATTATCAGGTTAAAGAAAAACTTCAGTAAATAAACACTTTGACTCTCGTGTATTTTTAAATGGGTTTTTGTTTTGTTTTATGTTTTTTGTTTTCTTGTTTGTTTTTTTTTTTAAGTCTACTATGACACATTTTCAAATTCCTTTGCTCTGCTGGGGTTTTCACCCACCAAAACAGAAATGCTGCATCAAATAGAAACAGTAGAAACAGTCCAACACCTGGAAGGAAAAAAGACCAAGAGCACAGAATAACCATAAAGGAGCCCCCATTTCTCTACACTTCTCAGGGGCAGGAGGTAGAAGAGGGTGGATGGGAGAAAGGTATTTTTAGTTTGCTTTTGGTTCTCAGTCTCCAGTCTTGTTAGTAGACAGCAATAAGTTACATTCATGACCCTATACTGAGTCTGTTTTACCCATATGGTAACCAGTGACTGAACTCCCAGTTTTACCTCAACCCTTGAGCTCTTTTCCATCGTATTTTATCCCTCTCCTCCTTTGAGGAGGGGCAGCGAGAAAGCAGCATCACAGAGTTTAGCTGCCCGCCAGTGTGAAGCCACTGCATAAGCAGAGTACTTGGGATCATTTCTAGTCTGAGAAACAGGTCTAACTGCTAAATAATGAAGGTATGTTCTTTCCTTCATAATTGGTGAACAGACAATATCATATGTTTGACCTAGCTTTCCTAAAACATCAGTTTTCAGCCTGTCACCTCCAGACTACATCAAATTGCTCTGAGCAAGACACCTATAGAGTAACAGACCTGGTATTATCACTCATGTACACTGTAAACAAGCAACAGATTTAGAGGAGGATTAACAACAGCAAAAAATAAAATAAATTTAGAAGTATTCAGTAAGGATGGCAAATAGAAGAAGCGACTCCCACAGAGCTGGGAAACAAACACCAAACAAGTGACATCAGCAGTTCTGCAAATCAGAACTGAGCACATGGTTAACAGTCAGTGCAGTATATCCAGCGTGAAAATGGGAAGCATAACAATGTAGGGGTGCAAACTTCACACACCTTGACTGCATAGCCAGCAACGACCAGTCCACCTCCTTGCAGATGCCAATGGCTTCCTGGGCTTTTTAGTATTCCTCTGACTGGATGTGCCATGCTAACTCCATAATGGAGGTCATGATGGTACATTTTCTTTTGTATCAAAATGATTCTAGAAGCACAGACAAGGCGCCCTAGCAGTCCTCTCACATCCACATGCCTGAGGCAGCCCAACCCCACATATATAGTTAAACAGCACGGTAATCAAATCAGTGATTACAAGGAGACAGACACAGCATCATCCCAGAGGCCCAGGGCCTCAGCAGAAGGCCCTCAGGTGCTACATGTCCCATCCTCCATATGTCCGCTTCCCTCTCAGAGCTGGAGGCTGCTGCCCTGGTTAGCATCAACCAACTGATGCTCACAGAGCTGCTCCAACCCTATAGCTTCAGTGTGGGAAAAGTGAAAAAGAACTGTATGCTGCCAAACCAGAAGTTTTTGGTTGCGCATCAGTGCGTGGCCACCAGTGACAGACAGCACTGCACAACTGGTCTTTGCTAGTGAGTCCACAAAGGAGCAAATCTGCTGCAACAGTAACACTGCTGTAACAGCACAAGTCATTTGTTTCAAGGTGGCCAAATCGGGTTCTTAAATTCATATTCAGAAGAATGAGAATGTGAAAATGTCACTTGCTTTCAATTTGACTGAAGCTTATTTATTCAGTCCCAAATCAAACGTTTTGTATTCAAATATGGATAATGGAGAGGGTTTCAATTCTACAAGTAAGACTAATTTCAGAACAAGTCCCTTGGAACAGCTTGGATGTGAATACTGTTTGCTCTTCAGAGAAGCAGTGTATGAGATGTGCAGATTTCATTACTAACTAGCACAGGTGGTGCAGCTGATGTAGCTCCAAAAGCTGTTTATCTTGTTCTGGTAGGATCTCTTCTCTCTGGCAACAGAATACCTGGCTATTTTCCTCAGCACATTTCCATTGCTCTTGCATCCTCCACATACATCCTACTGCCTCCTCAACAGCACATCAGCCACCACATCACATGCTGTCCCTAAAGGCATTCATTATTTATCCAAAATCGGATACATCCCAGGCAGACAGAAAGTCTGGGCCATTTCTGTGCAGCCACCTCTCAGGGAAGCCAAGCCTTCCTCCTCTGGACAGGTTGAGCCACCCCATCAGCCACTTCAAAACACCACCAGAAGCAGGAGCTAAATGCCAGGGAACAGGTGACATCCACTCAGCGTCTGCTAGCTGGCAGCAGACCCATTCCTAACAAGCAGCTCCTGGGTATTTAGAACAATGATAGAGAACCTGAACTAAAAACAAGTGGCAACTGTTCCGCCAGCTGGGAGCACACACTAACACACAGCCCTACCTTCCCGGACAAACTTACCTAATTTGTGGGACACAGTGCACAGTTACTAGATCAAGCATGTGCAAAGCACGAAGGCCACCTGTTACACACACAGAATTTCACCAAATCGAGATTAAAGTCCCTTTCGCCATCACTATCTTTCTAAACACATCCACACACAGCATCAATATCCCAAGGAATGTCAGGTCTGTTTGGGACTGCCAACACCCTGGAGTATTTACTGCACCTATACCATCATGCATGCAGAAGTCATTTCTCATCATCTTTGCCTTCCTGTTGTACACATTTATTCCCTGCCAACAGCCAGTACATGCAGATGGGCTGAGTTAGACCCCTGCCAGGACTTCTCTGCTACAGTCAACAGAACAAACAGAAAACCGCACAGAATAAAAAAGCAGAATGGCAAATCTCTGGTTCTTGTTTCTTTAACTCAACTAACGCATTTTTGCCTGAGGGACTATGAGGGGGAAAGGGAGCTGCATGCACTGCAGCTGACAGGCCATTTAAAGTTTCCTTTGTTTTCTGGCAAATTCTCCATTACCTATGAGGATATGACTCTCTGCAAAGAAGGCTCTTTCAGTTACTTTCCTTCTATTTGCTTTAATATAAACATCAGCTTGTAAGGAAAATATACTATTCATCAATTAAATATCTGCCCAGAAAGCAGCATCCCTTCTGACTCAGGCTTCTCTTTCACACCTACCAATGAAATATCTGAGCAATAAGAGATCACAGAAGGAAAAACAAGCGCTACTGCTGTCATCTGTCCTGGAGCAGTAGCTAGGATGGCTTGATGACATAATCTTAACGTTCAGGATCTTACCTCTGGGGGGAATCTTACCAAGAGTAAAGAAAGACAATATTCATTTTGCAGTGACCAGCAGGTAGAGCAGAAACTAACAAAAAGCAAAGCTACTCCATCTCCCCAGCACTTAATATAACTTAATAGTTTTAACAGTATCTCAAATAGAAATAGAAGCATTACTTCTCCCCCTATCCAGTTTTAAACGTGCTTTTACAACTGTTCAGAGTTTCCAAACAAACAGATATTTAATAATCCTTATAAAAATCCTTATCCTAAAATGATATTTACAGATAAAGATCTGAAAGTCTGGTCAATTATCCGTAAGTTCCTAGCATAGCTGTATGCAGTCAACTGATATAAATACAGCACTGCAGTTAAGAGTTCCAGAAGCCCATAGACCAGGCCCAGGCTCGTTTCATCTGCATTAGGCAACAGGCAATGAAAGTAGAAGCTTTATTCATTTGTGTCCTCCCAAACAATAAAGAATAGAGACATACATAGGAGAACAGAGATCCAAGTGATTTCAGTGATTCTACAGCAGCAGACAGAACTCAAGCTTTGCACAGCACACTCAGAGATTGTTGTGGCTGTAATTTTTCTGTCAATATTCCACATCAGAACATCATGTGGACCAGTGGGAGTTAAAGAGTTAATGTTCTGGTTCCATTTACTGCCTTTTACCTTTGACCTTCAAAAGCCAGAATTGTAAGCACACCTGAAAAAAGTACTTGCTAAAAGAAAGACTCCAAAAGCAAGCCAACAAAAGCACTGCAAACAAGGACAAAGCCAACCTTTCATTTCCAAAGTCATTTTTATCAAGATCAGAAAGATTAATAAAAGAATTATCCAACATTTCCTGTCTTAGTACCTATATTATTTATACACATCACAGTTAGCTTCCTAAAAAGAAAAGCAGCTGGACATCAGGGTAATCCCCAATGATTTATGCAAGATGAAAAAGGTATGAGTTGCCTTGTCTACCATTCTAATGGTTCTTTGTCATGCCAGACAGTCTTATCTACAGCTAGAGGAGTATCACCACCCTTCTTTTACTTTGTTTCTAGCAGGAAAGACCTTCTCCTCTAAAGTAACCAAAGACAGGAAACAAAAAGGAAACAGACCTTCCTCCCCACTTCCTGCCTCCCACCAGCCTGCATGGAAGTGTCCTCTTCTTCTCATACTCTCCTTCATTCAAGTGCATTTTTTTCTTATCTGTTTGCCTCTAGTGGTCATTTACCTTGAGCTTTTTGTTATCAAGTGGAGCATTGCAATGATTAAAGTAAGCCAGAGAGAAAGCAGGAGCACGGTGAGGAATGTAGCCTCTTTCCACCTGTCTTAGTCTGAAGGACTGCAGCCTATTTCATTCTGATTTATCAGGCATCATAGGCTTCACTCAGACAGCCAGTGGAAGTAGAAAAGCAAAGGAATTTCTATGGCTGAAGCGAACCAAGTGATATCGGAGCACTGGAACAGGCTGCCCAGGGAGGTGGTGGAGTCTCCTTCTCTGGAGATGTTCAAGACCTGCCTGGATGCCGACCTGCGCGACCTACTGCAGGGAACCTGCTTTGGCAGGGGGGTTGGACTCGATGATCTCTGGAGGTCCCTTCCAACCCCTACAATTCTGTGATTCTGTGACAAAATATGAATTTCGCACTGAAGAAATTGACACCTCTGTCCCCCTAGGGACAGATGGTTTCTTTCACACACTTTAGAGGAGTTATCTGTTGTTTTATGAGAAGAAAACTGAGAAAGCAGTTGTCTAGGCAGCACCCACTCTAGTTGGGGGGAGGAGGGGGAAGAAATGTAATCACTCTTTAGTTTCCTTTCACTTTACATACTACATATTAGATCACATGTAGCTGGGATGTACCATAAATACATTAAAGTACATTAACCTCATCATCTGCTGTGAAACAGAAAGTAGTGCAAATGGCAACATAGAGACTGGTCTCTGACCAAAAACAGTGCAGTGTTTTTCCTCTAAAAGGGGGCTAAGAAGTACATGAATAGGCAAAACAATTTCACAGTATAAAATGTGTGGCACAAATCTGAATGACCAAAGCATACTGCAGTTAGGGTAACCACAGGTAAGTGCATACATAAGCCCCAATTCCATTCTCAATTACACAAATCGTTCACTCAGGTTAGCAAACTGCACAGGTGTATGAGTTCACACATGCAATTACCATTTGGCTGCACCTACAGTATTTAGGAAACAGTCGCCCTTTTAAGTGGACAAAGAGAACACTGCCAAAAAGAAATCCACAAGATAACCTAAAAAGAGAAAGAAAATCCAGCCAATAATCTTTCAGCAAAAAAACCTAGTTACTGCAGAACGGATCACTTACAGAAACTACAAGGCCTTCCCCTCCTGGGGCTGGCACAAATGAAAAACTGAATGGAATTACCCCTTGTGCTATTGCAGAAAAAGTGCAACTAACTACATTTCTTCTTCACTGGCTGCTCTGACAGTCTCTCTCTCCTTTTCCTTGCAGGTTTGCATTACTTGTGCAGTCCATCTCCTACTGTGAGCAAAGGATTCAAAGATCAAATGAAAATCTCAGTGAATCTGAACTGTAAGGAAAAGGATAAACGTTGTCTCCCTTGGGTGTCACAGATGCCATGATGCCTGGCACAGATGCCTGTTAGGTCCCTGTATCTGGTAAGAAACCTGAAAGGTTTTATCAAATACACAAGGAAATATTACATTATTCATTACTTTGATATAGCAAATCTAAAAGTAGAGACAAGCAAGAAAACTCAAATTAAACACAGTTTGAGTTTTACCTGGCACTGGCTCCTTTAAGGTCACAGAAGTGCGTGAGTAAAGCTTTCACTACATCATTGCAGACGACTTTAACTACATCAATGTGACTCAGCCTCAGTCGCAGCTGCTTGGCAATCTCCCAGAAGTCTTCTGACAGCAGCTGGTACAGCTGCCCTTCATCTCTGCTGAGCTGCCCATACCAGGACAGGATGTAATCTCTGTAGATGTAGTCAAACACTGAAAGGAAAAGTACAACAATAAATAGCAAAATCTGCAAAGTGAAGGCACACTAGGATAGCAGAAACTTAGTCCTCCACACCATTAAATGGGTAACAGGTTTCACAACTTCTCCACCGGGTTTTAATTTCTCATCAGAGCATGATGTTGGCAAAGCTACAGAAATTTGCACCTAGCAGGTTACTGGAGGTCATTTTGCAGAGCAAAGTCCATAAGTGGATTTGCTCAGACAGTCAGGCTACTAGCTAAACACTAACCTCAAGCTAATATCTGTGCCTGAACAGTGGATTTGATTATACGATCTACCTTATAAGCTGGCTGCGTATTGGCTGTTGCAGACTGAAACCAACCTTCTTCAGATACAAACTTAACATTGTGTCCACTCCAAAGTTACAGTTAAAAGAGGAGGCGGTAAGCCTTTTGTATTTGAAAAGGCATATACAATGTTATAGAAGGTACCAAAGGATTAGAAGATACAGGGATAAGTGAACAAGCAGATTAGCAAGACAGCATGAACTTGAAAGATAAGGTAACAGTCCCAACCGTACCTAAAAGCAAAAGGATTACTGTAAATCAAGTTCCATCTACTTTCTTGGTTTTTTTGAGCTTTGTGCCTCTCCAGCTTCACTGATGCATAACTATCAGGTGCCTCCAGAGTTGTAGGAGGTGTTCAAGCCACATCCAGTGCTGCCAACAAGGTGGGAGAAAAGTTGGCAGTGGAGGGGTTGTGAATGGGATGAAAGCAGTTTAGAACAACCAAAGGGGTAACTGAAAAAGAAAGGGGAGCAAAAATGTCACATGCCTGTGAGTCTGAGCAGGCTCTTTATCAGACATCCTGATTTCAGAATTGTGCTGTTGTTTGGGCTTTTTTTTTTTTTTGTCACTGTTGTTTTAAACAAAAAAATATACCCCACTTGTCATTGTAAGCCCATTGTTTAATGCAATCACGCTACTCCACTATTCCTTAGTTTCCACTTCGATAGAAATTGCTGGGTTTTTTTGCCAGCTTAATAAACTATAAAAAGCTCCCTGGCACCATGACAGTGAAATTAATAATGTACTAATAGCATAACAACTTACACTGACTAATTTTGCCTCCCTGAAACACTAGCAGGCTTCATCCTACCTCACTGTACCAAGATCATTTCAAAAGAAAATACTGAAAATTGATAGTAGTTTGCAGTCAAATGTTTTAGAAATCTAATTCCTGGGTTTATAAAGAAACCAAGTCACTTTACTGAGCTGAAGTTAGATGGCAGTTACTAAGACAGTTCAAGGCTTCCAAATGACTTATCCAGGAAAAACAAAGAAAAACAAAATAAGTCAATAGAAGTTTCAAAGATTCTACACTAGTAGAATTCCTAAATGCCCCTTGCCTGAAAAGCAAAGTTATGCAGTGGCTCCTTATCTGCGCTGGCCAGATCTCTACAAAACAGGAGTACAACTTGCATCTCAATCTCTTAGGCTATCTTCTCTTTTAGAATATCTCTATTCCAACCAAGCTTTAGTCTTCTCACAACACAGATCTGCAATACTGTCTTTACACAAATGCAGGCATTGTCTTCGAGTACCAAAGAAAAAGTGAATATCCTTTCCTGAAAGGAGAGACCAGAACAGTCTCATTACAAGCAATTTCAAAGCTCTTCTGTGACTGTATCAGCGACAGAAAAGAACGTACAGCTACAACACTTGCTTGAGCTATTCCAGAACAGGAAGAATCACAACCAGAGAATCTAAGTGCAATATGAAGATTAATTCTGTTAGGCTGTTGCATACTGTGTTACTACAAAGCTAGATTTAACATACGTGACACAGTTATCATAAGCTGCTTCGGTAGAAAAAAAAAAGCATTAAATAAAAAATCTAGCAAAAGATGACTATAAAAGGCTATACCATATAAGTACCTGGCAAAGAACTGTCCCACAGAAATAAAAGTTGAATGCTTTGCTACTTGTTAGTCGCTAGCTAACACCAGGTGAACTGGCTTTGCCCAGTGCCCAAAGCCAGTTCAGTTAAACAAATACTCTTATCTTCAAAGAACAAGCTAAAACACTAAAGCTTCTCTCTTAGAGTTCCTAAAAACTGATAACTAATGATCTGAATTGATCATTTCCAAAACATCTATTTTTAAAGCTAAAGAGATTAAAGGGGTAAAGAGTTAAAAGGTCATTACTTAACGTCTTTCAGAATTTATTAGGTTTTAGATACACAATACAGATCAAGATGATGAAGCCTTATACTTAACATTATCTTAATTTCCTTAAGTTCCTCATGCTCATTAAACCTGTATTTAGGCCACGATGCCACAGGCTGGTAAAAAGTTGTCTGAACTACCAGACTTCAGGACTGGGAACCAGCCCCAGACATCAGCAACAGTGATGCTAAGATCCAAGTTCTGTTCTTCAAGTTTGTGCTGGGAAAAGTACCAGCACTTCATAGTTCAGCTGCATTTTACACCATTCAGCCTTGATGAAACTGACATATTCCTTTTATAGGTTAGATGCTATCACTGCTCCTATGCAAAAAAAAGTTCATGCCCATACAATTTCCCATTTCATACTGTTTGTGTTATTAACTTATTTAATTTTTTTTTCACATTTGCTGAATAATTACCATAGATGCATAGAAAAGACAACACAGGAAACACCAAATATATAAACAATAGAAGAAAAAAAATTTTAATGTGTCTCCTGGGCATTTGTAAAGTATCAGAGAAGTTTCTGTACAAATGACTTTACCCATGTACTCTCTGCCAAGAGGGTTTTTCAGATCCAAGCGTTTGAATCCCAATGGCAGAGAGAACATGAATTCAAATCAGGCCTTGCTCAAATTCTGGACCCAAACAGCTTTTTGAGAGCTGTGGGGGAAAAAAAAAAAAAATACAGCTGTTCAAACAGAGTGGCAGAAGGCACTGCATTTTTTTCCCTAAAAGTCAACATGCAGATCCTCAATTGGGAAATTAGATGGGCTGTGAAAATATTTCATTTTTATTAAAGGGAAGTCCTGATGCACAAACCTATCAGAGTTCTTCTACAGGGTCAACAAGAATGCAGATAGGCAAGATCTGATCTACAAGTATAATCTTATCAAACACCCAAAATCTTTTCATCAAGTCAGACTCAGCACAGGACCCAAGGAAACTAAGCAGCTATGGAGGAAGAGGTGGCATTCCCTGGCATGAAACATTTTCAGGGCCAAGAAACAGAGGGCATCACCAAACAGCCAATGTCCACAGCAGAATAATTTCACAAGCGGAGTTCCGATTTGTACTTTGATCCATGCTGTTTCACTTATTCATAAATGATCCAGAAAAGTAGGTAAGTAATATGGAGACGAAGACTGGCCATGAAAAATGATAAAAGATATCAGGCATTTAGAAGATGAAATTGAGTTCCCAGGAGATCAGCTAGCCTGGTGGGAGAGCAGCCTAGTGACAGCTGCAGCCTTTAGCCTCGACAGCACAGTAGCAACAGTAGCTGGGTCTGCCTGAGCACGGCCTTTCCTAAGAGGCATCCATGAGCTGCCCATTGATATGGGATGAAAGCACGAGGCTCCCAAGCAAGAAATAGCTCAGAACGCAAAGAAGGTCAAAAGTGTTTGTAAAACTGGGTCATCTTTTCTTCGCACAAGAAATGAAGTGCCAACAAGAATCATATCAATCTAGTGAAACAAAGCATGAAATTTTCTGGAAAAACATTTCAGTGTTAATCACCTAGCTGGCTGAAAAAAGGACTCGGGTTTAAAATGAAAAGGTTTTCTTTCTGCTGTATTCAGAAACTTTAAAATCTTCACATAATATTACATTTGTTCTGATTTTGCACACTTTAATGCAACACATCACCGGGTAGCAGGGTTAATTCAAAGCTTTCTCTCACCTTGCACCTGCAGCTTATGCAAAGATGCTACAATTAAAGGGAAAGAAACATTGTGAAGCTTCGTCCTTTAGTACTACTTGCTTGTCAGTGGAAGATAGAAGTTGCTAACAGAGCTGTATACAGACATAAACCTTTCTGGTGCAGAAAGTGACTGACATTGTTGAATGTCAATTCCCTATACTTCTGTTGTACTGACTTCAGAAAGAGAAGCCGTTCCACAGGAGGGCACCTGTTGTCAGCTGGTTGACAGGAAAACCACAGTATTTATTAGTTCAATAAAGTAACACTGATAGCTGAAATGGAAACATCAGTATCTCCTTTAATTAAAAGTAAGGATGATCAATGATGCCTATTCTCCCCACTACCTTAACAGGTCATGAGAACAAAAACAAAATGCAATAAAGCACGTGACAGCTTACCACGAGAGAGAGACATCACAAAACCTCAGCAAACCATGCGGTAATGGGGAGCTGTTCTAAGGAAAGAGAAAAGTTCACACAGACTGGCAGTAACACCAGGAAAAATGCAGCGTAAAAGCAAAAGTTGACAGGTAATTCTGGATGGACGCAAGATAGTTAGCAACACACTGTAAAACTTGGGCAAATTTAATTACATGGATAATGAAGAAAAGCTGAAGAAACCAGAATATGAACTTGTGAAAGTGTATCTACAGGGGCAAGGACTATACCATGTCCATTTTCAGAGTCTGACTGTTTTACTCTAATAAGAAAGTAGAATGTCTCATTTTGCAACTCATTCAGCAGCTCAAATTCAAACTGTCTCCAACACCTTTGGGAGATAAAAAGACTTGCTTTAATTTACATGTGGTAGTGTGAGAAGTCTCATCCTTGTTAACTGCATAACAGAGGACAAGCTGGCTTTGTTAGTCACTTAGCTAGGCCTGGAAGAAGTACAACCCATCTGACAAGTTTGCTCTCCAAAATTCAAGAGTGTGAATGGAAAGTAAAAATTGTTCTGAAAAGAAATGGCAATAAAGAAAGTTGTCATGGCACTAAGTCCTCAACTCTGAGAAATGAATCACTTAAGAATATTCTTAACTAACTTTCAGCCTGACTGGGTAAGGATGGACTTATCAATCCAATCTGAAGAAAAATTACTTCAAACAAAGATACTGTCATGTTTTCAAAGACACAAGCTCCTCCCATATGCATGCAGCAGGATGGAAGAGCAAAAAACATTTTCCACCCAGTAATCCACAACAGCTCTTCTCTCTTCAAATAGCCCCTCTACCTCCAATTCCATGCTGATAATGGGAAACAGTTCACAATCTTCACACAAACCACAGACTGCACTGGTGACCCACAGACTTCATATACTGCAGCAGTCAAAAGTACAAATCACCACTTCAGATTCAGTCTTCATTGCAAGAATTTGACCAAATGGAAAGACCTACTGCAAGAGCCTAGATTTTATCAGATCAGAGAAGTCCAAATGAGTCTGTGAAATGTTAGGCTTTTTTTTTTTTTTTTTTTACCTTCAGTTACAAAGGACTCAATTTTCACATATTTTCCGGATATTTACATACAAAACAGCAGTTAAAATAACAAGATGACAGTTCAACTGCAAACACAACTTCACGTTACTCACTACAGCTGATCTCTTGGGAAGACCAAGACTTTATCTTTTCTATCAAGGAGGAAGAAACCAGGGCCATTTCAAAATCTAGACATATTGTACAGTTACAGTTAGGCAAGAGGACAAGAGATACATAAAGGATCTGATGCTCCTTATCCAAATTAAGACTCACCTTCTTTCAGTGCCTTATCCATGTTGTGAGAAATGACCACCCTCCTTATCTGAACTGCATCGTGGGAGCTCCCAGTCCAATTACTCTGAAATTCAAAGAGAACATTCATAAGAAGAAATAGTTTTTTCTCTTTAAATGACAACTAGAACTGGAGTTCAAGGTGATCATACTCTCATCTGTATGTGTGCACGTGTAACCTTTGCAGCATACCAGCCTTCATTTAGCCTCATAAAATACAACTAAAATAAAACTGAAGCCATTAGCTCTCTTACGGTAATTTCAGTTCACATTCTTTCAGGTTTCTTCCTTCAGAAAAGATTTCTGGCCATCGCATTTTAAGCTGCTGGACAATACCAACATTGGTCTATTTTGAAGCATTACTGTGCAAACAGGTGGGTGGACGAAGAAAAATTCTTCAGTTGGCAGAGAGCATTCTGTGATTCACACCATCCCCATATAGACACGAGTATAATTAAAATCAGAAATAGAAACTGTCCCCATTGCCACTTTGCTTACTTCAGTTCTCTTCTTGGGAATTCAGACTCATATAGATGCAAGTAACTAAAATGAAGTAACTAAAGTGATGGCAGATGACTTACAAGGGGAGAAGCAGCGGCACCTATCCACTAAAAAAAGAGCACAGCTGCATGTGAGAAGACAGCACTTCCCACACATGCCCCCAGTGACTGAACCATACACCAACAAAGAACACGAAAGCAGTATAAACTTCAAGGAGAATTTCAGCAGAAACACCCTTCAGGGTTTTAAAAAGTATTATACCATCTTTTCAGCCAATCTGCAGGCTAATGCCTGGTGTATTTTGGTGTAACATTATCCACCTACTACAGACACGTGCACACAGACTCACACTGGCACTAACCAAATTGCTCACTTCAAAATTAGCTTAACTCCAGCCGACATAAGAAAATGATAAACACTGAGCTCTCCTTGTGTCCTCTTGCCTGCCTCTTAATTCGGGACCTTTCTACAGTAGAGGAAAGAACACAAAACAAATGCCGTAAGGGAGAACTCACAATCGCAACATGGCTCCACACTGTAACTGCATGATGCAATGCACATATTTTCAGGATGTAAGCTGGCTCCTTACACCATTGGATACTTCCACATTTCAACCTTGAACATCGTAACGTGATGAAAAATGCAGTAATGACAGCAGAGCAATAAAGATCCCAAGCTGCAGCAAATGAAGATCTGCTCAAATGCAACAGCCATGGGCACAGAAATAAAGGAAAGAATCTGCTTACCTTCAGAAGGCCTCAGCTGTACAAAGACCTCCTAACTCGTGCTTCTAATGCCAACCCTTAAATGAGGTCTGGGAAGGGGTAGATCCCAGCCCCACCCCATCTGGTCACTCAGGTACATTTCATGCACCTGAGCTCCCCACAGTTGGCCCTGCCTTCCACCAGGTGCTCAATCACCAGTTCAAGCCATGACTTAGCATTTCCACTACAAACATTCAAGGAACTTCACTGAGATGTAATCTCACGTTTTAGTTTGCAAGAACTAAGTTTTCTAATGCTGATAACATCTGACTTCTAAAATGCACCAATTTATTTTTGTAATGAGAACGTGGTAACAGCAATGTTTACAATTAGAAAGTTCAGGACAAGCGATCAAAGAGAACTTTAAACAGGGAGAAATTATTATTAACATTAGCAATGGTGATTTTGTACCTGCACATGTGTAATTATTGAAGGAAAAATGAGATGCGTGGCATGTTGGATTTTCTGAGGAATCTTCCGTATCAAAACAGGCATGCATACAGTGACAAATAGCCTGAGAGAAAGGCATAGACCAAGCAAGAAACCTACCTTCCACCTTGTTTAAAAAGTGACTTTCAAGGACTGATGAGAATCTAATATGTGAATAAACACAAACATTTGATGAATTGGAGGGCTAGAACACAGGGGAGAGGTAACTATTGTCTTCAGCTACCTAATGAGAGAGTAAAGAGAAGGTGCCATTATTTCTTGTGGCTGTGTAGCATGAGAGGGCAGAGGACACAGACTGAAACACAAGGAATTCTGATCAGATCTAAAGCAAAATTACTTTAATAATGAGGCTGGTCAAATAGCAGAACAGCAGGCCTGAGAGACTGCCGAACCTCCATCCCTGGTACTGAGTGACCTGACCAAGCCATGCCCACTCTGAGCAGGTGGTTGGAGTAGAGAACTTCCTGACATGCCTTCCAACCTGAACTGTTCTATCACTCTTGATGATCCTTCACAGATCTGGATACTTTATTTAGCAGCTGAAAATGGACCAGATCTTAAATTGAGCAATGAAACAGCTGAACAAACTCCTTTTTCCTTTCGGTCTTACGAACTTGCATTTAGCAAAATCTATTCCCTTGCTTTTTATTTAAAAAAAAAATAATAAATCTGTTTCTGTGACAATAATGATGAATCAACTGAATAAATAGGCACCCCCAAGCTGGATGACATGTGGCAAACAGCCACCTTCAAAACAACAGTGACAACTTGCTAACACAGGCTCACAGCACCTGCGATAACAGAAGATCTTCCAAAAATTCACACTCCAGATTTATCAACTGAGAGAATGCGAAATCCAGCAGATCCGGCAGATCATCTTCCCACCTATCTCAAGTCAGATGGATGTATGCAGATGTCTTACCTCAGAGAGAACAGGTTCAACTAGAAAACCATTACTTGAGTGTTTCCACAGTTTATGCCGCTCATCTACAAGAAAACTATGCTATGTTTCATGAAACTGTTGGCATCACTCTGAGACAAAGATGCCTGTAAATGGCTTAGCTTAGCTCAAAGCTCTCACTTAGATGCTCTCATACTCAGAATGTTCCAGTCGGTCCTGACTTGCAGCCCCACAATGGGCTCCACTCCAACAGAATTTACTGCCAAAGAGGAATGAGAGAAACTGAACTGAAACTTAAGTAAGATTTGACAAAATGACTTACAAGTTGTGGGAAGCATAACTTGTGCAAAGAATGAGGTTGCTAACAAATGGAGACGGCTGCTTCCTGGAACTGCTTCCGTTTTCCTTGAACTTGCCTTTGTTTACAGCCTGGATGAAAAAGTAAAGGACGCAAACTTTTCCCAGAGACTTCTGAACAACATTCATTGTTCAACAGTTTTGAGAATGATTTCCGATGCAGACAACAACAGTCTGAAAAGCCCAGGAAAGAAAAAAAAAAAAAACAGCAAAAACCAACCCAAAGCTGGCCAGCAATGAGCCAGACATCCAGGCTAGCTTGATCTAATATCACAGAAGGCTTCCGTGAATTCTTGGGAATTGTATACAGTCCCAGTCTATGGAGCAACATCACAGTCTGTCCTTGATTAAGATGGTGAGAACCCACAGCCTTGACACTGAGGCCAGAACAGCCATGTGCTATGGAAATCATGCCAGGGAGCCAGAGAAACCTCCATGGCAGCCCCTGTCTGACAATCCCACATGCCCATTCCGACCCCTCCCTCCCACAGTTTTTCATCCATGAAAGATCTGTGTTCTGACTTTTTAATACAGAATCAGAACACTGCAGAAGAAACTGACCCATTCATTTTATTAACATTGTTCTATTCCATGATGCAAGCTCAACTGCAGAAAAAAGAAATCATGGGACAGAATGACTACACAAACCCTGCACGGACACAGCATCAATTTGTTTCTCTTAGGGCTGTTCAACTAATCGTTTTTCATCATGTAGAATATGATGTCCTTTCCCAGGCCACCACCTTCTTACATAACTGCCTTTTCCTTATGGAAGTTTTGCTGCTCTCCTCTGCAGAACACAAGAAATTAAGACCTGGCAAAAGCAGGAGGTCAATCAGATTTCATTTTTGGAGTTTGTTACAGGGTATGGCATTTTCAATCCCAAAGCATACCTTGCATGCAAGACACTTGCACTTCTGACCTTATGACAGAGTTTCTGGTTCTACCTTTGGGACTCCAGTGCCAGAGATTTGGGCACTGAGCCCAGTGCTGCTCTTACTGACCCACTCAGCACAACTCAAGTAGCAGAAGAAACTACCCAGCTCTCTTCCGATGTTGTTTTCCGTTGCTCAAAGTACTTTTCAAGTAAGAAGCAGCCCTCACAAAGGTACAACCTGCCAGATTTGCAGCAAAATATGAAATTCCAATCTAATGCAATGTTAAGATAAGTAAACATTAAGCATGACACAGTGCCATCTCAAAATATGCACAAATGAACAAAAATGAACCACGATGCTAAGTGGTTATGGGACAAGTAAATTAGAGTCTGAAAAGCATTTCATTTCCTGAGATTAGTCTTCCGTAAGAATAAAATTTTTGCTTCATAGTTACATATGCAGGTAGTTGTCATCCTGGCAGGAATTCCATTCTCAACCAGCTTACAAATTCCTATGGACAAGGGGCATTTCTGGAGCAAAACCATTCAAGCTGCAGGCCCCTAAGTGCAACTCATAGAACCGCAGCTGACTACTTGGGGCTTATGCAACTTATACTCAAAATCTTAAAATATTCCTGAAATTGATAGGCAATGCTATGCTATCTTTTCATTATCTTAATTTCAGGACTTGCACAGTAGTAAATTTACCTGCGTCATCAAAAACAAACTGCTAACCTGCCTATGTAAGAGATATCACAAAGAACAAAAGTATCGTACCCTGTTTTGTTGAAAATAAATAGAAGTGAAACATATACTCCCCTTTCAGTGCAAAAAGGATTCATAAACTAGAAGCACAATCACTGACCAACATATTTGGCTGTAAGTCCAAGAGGAACTAAAACCAGTGTAACAGAACAGTAATGAGCAGAAGCTGCAAGGACTAAGCGAAAGACCAGCAAAACGCTGCAGCAGCAAAGCTTTCATGGTATTCCCTTATGGGGCAGAAAATGAGACAGACTGGAAGACATGCTTGGTTTAAGGCAGATGTTAAAGTAAACAAATAAATAAGCAACAACAAACCATAAATACATCTGAAGACTTATTAAGGTGTAAAGAAGAAGTCAGGAAGGAAGAATGCAGTTTTCCCTCTCCCTCACAGCTGCTCAAAACTTCTCATTACCTCAAGTGCTGCCCTGCAAAAAGCCTGAAAATCAAGGCCCACAGATGGCAAATCTGCTTCCTGCAGCTTCTGGGGCTCCTAGCTCACCTTCAGAAGCCCTGTCTGATGGCAAGCATCCAACAGTGAAGCAGGCTGAAACTGCATGTCCTCTGCCTTCCTTATCTGCCTTGAAAAGCACAGATTACATGCAAATAACTTCCAATAATTTCATTATTCATCCCTCTATGATATAAAAGTGTCCTATCTTCCAAAATATATTTAAATATATTGTTATGTCTGTGAACTCATGGCAGATATATATATATATATATATATATATATATATATGAGTGCTATCTTCCAGAATGCAGAGGTTTCAGTCACTACCCAATCCAAGGAGAAAAGCTTTACCTTCACTTTAGTGACAAATTCCACAAAAACCTCCCGTTCAAGACCAGCACTTTAGGAACGTATGACACTGTCACAAAAGTTTCTCTAAATTGAGAGAGAAATATTTCTAGGAATGGAGAGCTGTTAAGCAGAAGCAAACAAGAGCAATCAAGCAGTCAGGAGCCAAGTTTTAAAGAAACACTGGGAGCCCTGGAAATCACAGGAAACTGAAAAGCAGGACAGCAAAATCAGCATGTCCTGGCTGAAGAAAAACCAAGCTCACATTTATTGCTTTTGTTACTGCTGCGAGGCAGACCAGGTAGGTTGTTCTTAATACAAAACATCATTCATTTTATCTGCATTTGTAGCAGCACTTGAGTTTCATAAACAAATCCTCGGGTTTTGCATTGCTTAAATGCAGATAAACCAACCACCTTATTCAGAGTTGTTGCTTTGAATCAGAGTCAAAATACTGCACTGCAAAGAAAACTCTGTCCTGCCAGTTTTGTTTTGTTTTGGCGAAAGTACAACTCACGCTGGAAATGTGGGAGAAAAAGGTGTTCTCCTTCCCACCTCCCTGGTTAACATGATCCTTCACATGAGTCAAAGCCATCTCTCCTACTACTATGCAAGCTAGCAGTGACACAGGGAACAAGTCAGAATTTTAAAAGGTGACACATCTAACAAGTCCTTCCCAGGGCTATTGCTGGCGTTAGCAAGGCTGCTTACACCGAAGCAAGAAGTCCTCTGGGACTTACACATTTTAACTGGAGTTCAGCTGGTGCCTTTTTGCTGTCTTGCATGTTGCTGCCCTCCTCTGCCACAAACAATCTGGTCCTAAACCTGCTCCTGGAAACAGCTGAAAAATATCTGATAATGATGTCACATGCTTTCAGTGTCATTCAATTCCCACTATTCAAATATGAATGGAAACTATTTACTACTAATTCCTGCAATATGTTATCATTTGTCTATACATCTCTCCTTCTCTTTTTAAGAATTATAAAAGAACAGAGAGAAGAAACTGAAGCTTGTAGTCAGAGCTCTCCCATAGACAGAGAAAGGCGCTTCTTCATGGCAACACAGACTTTCTCAGTGAGCTTCAAACGCTCTTACTGAGATACCTAACAGCAGCCCAAGTTCCAGAGGGTACAAGCAGCATTTAGAACAAAAGCAAAGCTTCACATCTGGGAGGACAACTTCTCCAGGATCCATCCCAGGCAAAAAGAAAAAGGCATACACTTGGCATTTCTGAAATACAAACGTAGAGTACTGCATTTTCTCAACTGAGTTATTCACTTGCACAAACAGATTCATGAAAATCAGCAGCACTAAACTCCTGCTGTAAGTGCTTGCAGAATTGGAGAACTCACAAAAAGTTCAGTTTTTCCAGCACAGCATGAAGAGCTCAATCCAAGCCCCTTTGAAGTTAGTCGACTGAGTACTCCCACTCACTTCCCAAGAGCTAAGTCTGACTCCCACTAGAATAAATATTTATTGCCATATGCTTTCTGTTTCCTCGTATGCTAACCCCAGTGTGAAAAATCAAAGAAAGAAAAATAAACATTATCCTGCATGTTCATAGACTTAAGAAATGAAAAAGAAAATTAGATCTGTAGGACCCATTTCCTCCACAAATATTACATATTAGGCCAAGAGAGGGTTCTTTCCTATTCTTCCTACTCTTGAAGGACAAAAGACGTGAAAACACTGAAAGCATTCTGGCTTTACTGTCTTTCTGCCACTGGTTCCCAAAAGAGGCAACACAGCACCATAAGACTCCACAAACACAGGAAGGTAACAACCAAATGGTAGAAGGAGCACAGGCATGGTTGGAACGTACAGTAAGAAGAGTAACTTCACATTTTTACCCAAGCTAAACATACAAAAGACACTTGGGAATAAAAATCTCCACAGATGGCCAACATGTCTATATGCTGCTAAGACAGGCAGTATTGCTTCATCTGCCCACACTGTGCTGAACCAGCAGTCAGGAAAATCACACAACATACACAAGATCATCTTCAGGGGGAGTACTTCAAGCAGCTCAGGGATCATGAGCCATTTTTATATCAAATATACATGATCTGTACACACATCAGCAAAACAGTACATCGAAAATATGAGAAAACCAAGCAAGTGACACCTGGAATCAATGCCAGGGCAACACACAGCTCTTCTTTAGGGACAGCCCCTCCTTCCAACCAGGTCACGTTCTGAGAGTAGTGCAGGGAGGGGAGACAAACAAAATCTCAATTGAATCACAGAGAAGGTTAAAAAAAAAAAAAATCAATTCTAGAAAGAGGGCTGTAGTAGGCAGGCACTGCTGCTTTAGCAGCGACTTGAAAATCCCAGCCTTTAGTCCGGTTCCGGAGTAACAGCACATAGTGTAGGACTACAGCACCGTGTAACAGCACCGTGTAACAGCGAGCGTGTAAAACACTACTGGATGGGCACAGATGCGGGACCATGCAGAGAAACAGGCACAGAAAGCACATCGGGCACAGAGACCGAAACGATCGCCCCTCTCTTGACGTCGGGACTTCCAACCCTATTCGGGGGGCTTACGCAATACGGTTTCCACAAAGCGGGGAGGGGGGGCAAGGGGAGAAAGAGCGTGCGTTTTCCTTCAACTCCGAGCTTCCCCTGAGCCGCTCAAAAGGAACTGGAAAACGCTCCTAAAGAAAGCTACAAGGAGCTCGTAAGAACGGATCGGTGAGCGTCAGAAGAGGCACAAAAACGCCCGCTACGGGTGCTCCGCTCGCGCCGCCCCGCTTCACGGCGCGGCCGTACGCAGCGCTGCGCCGGCTCTCACACGTCCCCCTCACGATCGCAGCCTCCCCGCGGAGCAAAGCCCCGCTCCTCCCTCCCCCCAGCCCGAACGCGCGGGGCAGAGCGCGGCCGGGCGCGGAGGCACTTACCGGCGGCAGCGGTACGTCAGCGGCGGCGGCGGGGAAGCTCGGTGGCGGCAGGCGGCGGCCGCGCCACAGCAGGCCGAGCAGCGCGCCCAGCGAGGCGGCGGCGGCGGCACAGCCCGCGTACAGGGCGAGGCGGAGCGGCGGCAGCAGGGCCCAGCCGGGCCAACCGCCGCTCCCCGGCCCGGAGAGCTCCCGTCCCAGCAGGGCGACGGAAGCGGCCAGCAGCCCCAGCCCCGCCGCCAGCGCGAAGCGGGACGCGCGGGGGTCGTCGTCCTCCTCGTCTTCCGCCGCCCCTTCCTCGCCGGCGGCCGCCGGGGCGCCGCGACCGCCGGTTTCGCCGCCGGGGCCGTGCGAGCCCGCGGCGCCGCCCCCCGCCGCCTCGGGCTGCCCGGCTTTGCCGCTAGCGCTGTCGGCCGCGGGGAGCATGCTGCTGGCGGCGCCGCGGGCAGCCAGCGCATCTCCCTCCGCGGCAGCCCCCCGCGAAGGTCGCCGTCGCCGAGGTCTCCCTCCGCCTCTCGCCGCTGCCGCCACTGGCACCGCTGCGGCCGCCGGGGGAGCCGGCTCTCATGCCCGGCAGCCCGGCCGCTTCCAGGCAGCGGCGCTGCCCGCAGGTGGGCGCCGGGACGCCGGCGCCGCGGCGGCAGCGGGCGGGGAGGCCCCGCCGCGCCTGGCGGGTCCGGCAGGGGAGGAGCGGAGGCGGCGCCAAGCGGGAGGCGGGGAAGAGCTGCTCGGCCGCGGCCGGTCCCGCTGCGGAGGCGGGGCCCGCGGAAAGCGGCCGGCAGCGCCTCCGCTGTGGAAGGGCTGACCTGGCGCCGCTTCCTTCCCTGTGCCCTGCTGTTCCGTAACTCCTCGAGGCGCTGCGGCCGGAACGGAAAACGCTTCGCAGCACGGCACGAGCTTTGCTGTATTTCCTCCCTCAGGAAGCCGGGCTCGGCCAGAGGGACTTCCTTTACTCTCGGGCTTCGCTTGCGGGGCAACATCCCATTGAGAAATTTGTATGCTGGAGCACTGAGGCTGCTGGAAAACACGTTCGGGTTCAGACTGGCACTGTGGGGAGGCTCAATGCGTCAAAGAGCTCTACATCTACTTTTTAAACTGCTATCGCTGCTGAGCTCGGGGACATCTTCATTTATTCAAATTCAGTAGTTGCTGCTGTAAGATTAATTATACCGTTTGTGTGAAGAAAAGAGGTGAACACCAAGGCCACGGTTTCACAGATTTCTGTAAAATTTCAAGAGTGCATAAAAACCAAAGCCTGAACTTCCCAGAGCATCTGAGATGTTAAGCAAGCCAAGGCCATAAGCGTGGATAGAATGGGTGTGAAAACGCTATAGCTACAGCTCCAGTAGTGCACCTTGGAGATGCTTTGGGGGCAAGTTCACAGCACAGAACTATTTCCTCTCAAAATACTAGAGTAGCATTGAAGAGATTTCAGCTTCCCCTTTAGTCATCAGCCAAAAGAGCCTGTGCTCCCTAATGTGATCTAAATTCCTTTACAGTGGCTTAAATAGTTTTACTACACAGTTCATTCTATTTAGTGGATATTAAATTGCACAAAGACCTTTTAAGCACTGGCTCAGGCCATCCACAGCAGCCAGAATTGATTATTTAAGTAATGTGCCTAACATGATTAATGGTAAAAATCATCACGCACACAAAGTAAGAATGCGGATGTGTTGACAGTCCTTTCTTGTGCAAACCATCCTGTGCCCAAACGCCCCGATGCTACATCCAAGGGCTTGGGGTACACAGCTCTTGCTGTGCACCCAATCATTAAGACCAACAGAGAGATTCTTGCAGAATCCAAGAGCTTTTAAAGAAAGCCCAAAGTACAAGGAATTTTTCTGTAATGTTATTTTATTCTCATCAGGCAGAAAACAGCAGAGATCCAACTCCCAGCACACATTTAATTCCTCAGAGTTCAGAAAATACAAGGCTCTGGGCAGAGATCAGCACGTCTTCTGCTATCTTCAGAATGAGCCACACAAGCAAGAAGACAGAGCGTGCAGAGGCCTTCTGCCACGAGTGTGCTCAGGAAACAGTCCAGGCCTCTGTCAGAACTACTGAAGGGATCTGAATTTTTAAATTAACCTGAAGCAGAGCATGTAACATTGTTAGTTGTGCGTAAAGAGAGATTATTTCCTCATTGAAGTGTTAACTCTCAGAAATGGAGAGGAAGATAAAAAATAAACCTACCTATGATGGAGGTTTAGTCCTGCAGTGCTTACGCACAAAAACCATTCTTGTCTGAATGAGTAATCCCACCAATTTTAGTTAAGCTTCACACATCATACCCTGAATCAGATATACCTAAATTAACTCAGGTGTATATCCATGCAGCTAGGGGGAGCTTTGATTGCTTTTCTTTTAGCTTTTAACAAGATTCTTTGCCTTTCCAACCCAGAATACAATTCATAGTATTTCAGATGACATCCTACCTTCACTAAAGTCAATAGCAATTTTCAAGTTGATCTCACTGTTATTTGAATTTCCCCTTTTGCACTTAAAGAAAACCAACAACTTTCCTGCACAATACAAAACAACTTCAGAAGTGAAGTTTTTGGATCAGGACCATTATCTTTCTATAATTATTTCCTCCGTCGTGGAATTATTTTGTGAGTTCAGCTATTAGAACTCTATCTTATTGAAGCATTACAGCAAATATCTTTCCTACAAATAAAAGGCTTTTTCAAGATCATTTTCAAATAGAAATGATGCCTGATTTTGGGGAAGACTCAGCATCTTCACTTTAAACTTTGAGCAAGGAATGCAATAACTTTTATCTGACATACCCCAAACTGAGCCTCAGCATTACAAACGTAATCTTCTATCTGTCCTTAAGTGACGATCTTGCATCTTTCACTTTCAAAGTACTGCATGATTTGCACCTTCAGTATATTTATACCAGCTCCATATTACTTTCATGAAGCCTTTTTTCACATTTACTTTTTGCTTTGTGAGCCCTTCTGGCTTAGATCATATTGCTATAAAGGTGCACAATTTATTATTACTGTGTACTATCTTTCCTTGAGACTCCATTTATCCTTTACTGAAAATGAATTGAATTGAACTGCTCTCCCACAAACCATTATTTTTCTTGCTTGTATTTCTGCAGAATAAGTACTTTACAAAATGAATCTATTTATTGTCTCCCTTTTTGAGGCAATGACATTTTGCCAATTTGAGATGGAAACCTGATGCACCTGAAAAACAAAAGTACCTATTTAATACAATGTGAGGTACCTGAGATAAAGTCTCTTGAATGCTTAGTGTTTTGTAGCACTGTTTTCCAAATGCAGCTTCCACTGATTTCAATTGCAGTTGTGATTATTCAACATTTCAATAGTAAAATTCAAGAGAAACTAGAATGAAACAGAACAACAGAATGATTTGGGTTGGAAGGGACCTCAAATGCCATAAATGCAACATCAAATACAAAAAGTTAGCTTAGATAAGTTGAAGAATCTCCATTAAATGCTCTGTTGCTTAAGTAGAATTAGAATCTGGTTAACATAAGGCTGTTCGTTTGTACTTCATTTCCTTCTCTCATAGTATTCCGCCACATTCACTGTATGCATTTAAAAATATATGTGTATATATATATATGCACTCATACGTGCACACATATGTGCCTCTACGTGTCTTTGTGCCAAATGAAATAGGACCATATACACAACAGTTGTCTTCACCTGTTTCAGCTCATAGTTCAGCACGCTCAAAAAAAAAGATCATGTCATTACACCTTTGTTGTAATGAATAATAGGCCAAAGAACAGTTTAATTTTCTGGTTTTGAATTACTGAATCTATAAACCAGTCATCTTCCTATTCATGGAGTTATTTCCTTCTTATTAAAAAGCCCCATTACTACTACTAGAGAAATGCCAAGGCCCACTATTGCTACTTCAAATCATAGAATCACTCAGGTTGGAGAAGACCTTAAAGATCAAGTCCAAACATGACCTAACCAAACTACCCTAACTCTAACAACCCTCCAATAAATCATGTCCCCGAGCACCACATCCAAATGGTTCTTAAACACGTTCAGGGATGGTGACTGCAATCTTTCCCACTCTACATAGTACACTACTTCTTACACTGGAAGATTATTATCACAGCTGCCATAATCAGTGCTGGAAGTAATGAAACTCTGCCTGAAGTTTTCATGTATGTTTCCGCAATAATTATCCTGAGACTTAAGGATACAGAGGTCAGGCTCAACCTTGAGGAAGGAGCGCATTCTAACAGAAACAGGTACTGTATCTCTTCTCAAGACTCTGAGGCCCCAGAGTGTGTCTGGAGCACAAGCCTTATAGGGAAGGGCTGAGAGAGCTAGGATTGTTTAGCCTGGTGGAGGTTCAGGAGAGACCTTATTGCTCTCCACAGCTACCTCAAGGAAGGTTGTAGTGATGCGGGGTTAGCCTCTTCTCCCATGTAACAGCAGTAGGCATAACATCAAGTTGTGGCAGGAGAGGTTCAGGTTGGTTTATCCTCCAAAAGAATGGTAAGACATGGGAACAGGCTGCCTAGGAAAGCAGTAGAGTCACACACCTGGATGCATCTAAGAAATTTATAGACACAGCACTGGGGGATGTGGATTAGTGGGCAATATTGGTAGTAGATGGCTGGACTAGGTGCCTTTAAGAGGCCTTTTCTAACCTTAATGATTCCATGAATCATGCCTTTTTCAACACAGGGTACCATTGCATTAGACCTCATCACTCCAACCTGGAGCACCAGCACCTCAGCTAGGATCCCTCCACCACCTGAAGCTGAGACTCATAGAGCCCCATCACCTCACCTCCATGCTCCATTGCTTCAGCCTAGTTACCCCCATTTCAGTGTAGGATACCGCCAGCTCAGTACGGAGAAACAAACTCCACAGCCGCTCTCACAGCTCCCTCCTGCGGAAAAGAAGCCTAACAGGATGCTCAGGGCAAGCAGGGTCCCGCTCGGCTCTCTTACGTCTTCCCGCCCGCCCACGCCGCCATCAGTCCCCGCCCGACGAGGGAGGGATAAGAGGCTCCGCCTGGTGGTGGGACGCGGCTGTGACGTGGCTGAGCCGTTACCGTGGCCGCTGCGCCGTTCCCAGAACGCAGCTGGGCTGTCGGCCTGGCGGTGGTGAGTCCGCCGTGGAAGGTAGTTGGGAAGGGGGCTGCGGACTGATTGGAAACGGTGGAGGGGTGGTAACTGGTTCTTCCGTCTGCCTGCCAGTACCAGCTCTACTGAGGCGGGAAACGCGTTCGTTAGTGTCATTAGTTGGGGTTTCGCTGCCTGAGTGACACGTACGGGTGAGCGGAGGGCTTCTGCTGGGGTTGAGCCGCCGCGCTCTTCTCGTGGTGAGTGGGAATGAAGCCTTGCTGAAGGTGGTCCCTCGGGGACCTGTGGAACGCGCTTCTTCAGAAGTTGTTTTTGTTGTGGTGTGTGAATGTGTGTGTTTGTTCCTTCCTGCCATGAACCGTGCAAGGCATGTTTAGTGCTTGCATTTGTATGCTTAGATGTTTGTAAGTGATGTATTTGAGACTTGCGGTGTTTGCAAAGCTTCTTTCTCCTAGTTAGGAAGCTGCTTGGTACTTATCATGGCAGTTAAGAAGAAATAGTGAAATGCTTCATAGAATCTGAGGGCTGAAGTGATGTTGTCATTGCTGGAAAGTTAATAAATTTGCTAGCTTAAGAAAGGCTTGGTAAAATAATCAGGCTCTGAAACTTCACAGTCAGGTTTGGAATGCTTCAGACATCTCCCACCAGTTGTTTTGTCACATATGTTGTGTCTTTATAATTTCTTAGCCTAGATGCTTCTTGCAATGGTGTGAAATGAAGAGTATGAGAAAGTAGACAGTGAGGTATTCAGGAACATTTTTTATTTTTTTTTTTTTAGGGACCTCTCATTAACCTAGTGGGGTTTTTACTTCAGTTTGGTTTTGTTTGCCTCTGCTTACAAGGCTGCTTGGAGGTTCTTTGCTTCTGCATAAGATTTCTGTGCACTCAGAGAGCTATCAGAACTGCACATTGAGGTTTTGGAAGGGAAGTTGGCTGGTCCCTTCTGAGGCTTGACCCAGCAATATGTACTGGTGTCTTCTTCAGGCATGCTTTCAATCAGTTGCAGGTTGGATGGTATACAACCTTTGGTGGCACAGGTGACTGGAACATCTACAGGACTATTTAATCAGGAGCTGTATGGCAGTGTAACATGCCTGGAACACAGAGTCTCAAAATGAACCAGCTTCTAAACAGACCTAGCTATCTTCTCAAATTTATGGGTGATAGGAAGACTATGATAACAGATGTATGACAGTATTTCCACCAGAGCTGCCTTTGAAAATTTTTCTTTCTTGGTCTCATGTTCAGCCAAGATGGTAGCAGTCTAAAACAAGTCCTGCCTTTCTTGGTGGAGGCATTTGCCATCCTATAATCTCAGCTGATGTTCAAGTCACAATTTCTAGGGATTTTACCTGATTTGACCTCTACACATGTTCTGAGGTAAGGAATAGGCATGTATCAGTGTATACCTATGTAAGCTGTTTTCTGTTTACTAGTTGTGTATTTTTGGCTCTCTGTCGTACAGGAGATTGCTATCTTTTGGTCTTTTATTTTATTGCTTGTACATTAACTTGGAGGCTTTTGCTCTGCAGTCATCTAATCTCTCTGGTGGTCATGTGCTTTCATTTGCTGTGTTGCTCTACATAGCAAAAAAAAAAAAAAAAGTCCCTTAGAGACCTCCAAGCTGTGTGACAGGCATAGAAACAAAAAATACCATCTCTTCATCTGTTTTCTCTTATTTGTTTTTTGATGGAAACTGTAAAATTAAAGTTGAGTTTGAGTGAAAGGAATGGACCAGTATAGCACATCTGTTTTCTATTAAGAAGGAGGCTGAAACAGTTGTGGGTTGTGCCAGGAAGGTGCAAGGAGCATTTGATAGTGAACTGGTTGATGTTATAGCTGCTGCTCTGTAGGCACGTTACAACCTCTAAATTGCATTTATTCTGGTAGTAGTGGATGTTGGCTGTGAATCATCTGGCTCAGTCACGGTGGAAAACCGGTGATTCATCTACTTGTAGTCATGTGGAATGGGAAGATGAGCGTTCCTTGGTTGGTGCTGATGGTGAGGAGTGTGTGGGGGCCCTCTGCCCTCTAGCCACTGTCTTGACTTAAATCCCTTCCTCATTTAAGAGATTGTGTTCAGCAAAGAAACATCTAATAAGGCTTGGTACAGACACTTAATGGCTTTATAATCAGTGAGGTACTCTTTGTTTAACTTCTGTTGCTGAATTGGGCAGCAGTAGAGAGACAAAAAATATGTTTCTCAACAGGAAGTTGTATTTCAGTTATACTTCCACCTGCAATAGTCTGCTTTGCCTAACTCTCTTGTTTATTTTGTGATTATAACATCCTAATATTCTTTGATTATACAATTGTCTATTTTTTTTTAAGAGACCATCCATGTCCTAAGATATTCTGGTTCTCCTACCTTGCGTAGTTTTTTATATATCTTCCAGTAAGGAGTGGAAACTCATCTCTCTTCTACCATGTGTGATTGACATAGGAGCTAACACCTTGTTTCTGCAAGAAATATGGCACTACATACTTCTGCTCACTATAAAATTAAACTATGGAGTTTTCCCTTGCTGTGTAACATAATTAACTTAAGAATTACAAATTACTAGAGCTAAAAGAATGAGGAATAAAACTATTACGTTAAAAGTATACTTGCATTTGATGTTATGCTGACTTTTGGAAACCTTTCCTGGTGGTTGCAGGAAGCACTTCACTATGGACCAATTTGAAGATTCATCAGATGGTGAAGTGGATCACACTTTCTATGAGAGTGATTTTGGAGAGGAGGAGAAGAAAACTGAAGCAAATGGTGAATATATAGAGAAAGGAAGTACAAAGGTAGCTCATTCTGACCCTGACTTGATTGCTAGTTCAAAGGATGCAAACTGTTGTGAGGAGGAAAATGAAAAGAAGCAGGAAGATTTGCAGAAGAGTCGGTTCCTAGAAGATAGCGAGGACAATCCTGGGGATGCTTCATCTTTTTTACTTCCTCCAGTTCATGAGAATGCGGGCACATCTGGAGCAACATCTGCAGCAAGCAGGAGAATGCAGGAAAATGTTCCTGCTGGAATCCCTGAAATAAATTATTACACAGATGAAGAAGATAGTAGTGATGATAGCAGAAAACAGATTAGACCAGAGTCAGCTAAGCAGTCATACAATGCAGGAGGGGCTAGAAGAACGTACAGTACTACCAGCTCCTCTTCTTCATCCTCAAGCTCAGATACAGATTCTGATAGCTCTGTATCAGATTCATTGCATTCTTCCTCCAAGAGAAATGCTTGTAGTGTGGCTCTTCCATCTCCCAAAGAAAAATTTGCATCAGCAATAAAATTACCAGAAGGAAAACCAAAGCTTGGAGACCGTGCAGAGGAATCTGAAGATGCAGGTACTAATATAACATCCCTGTCAATTCCAGGCAGAAATTCCACTCAGTCTTTTGAATTTGCAGCTTCAAATCTTAAGAAAATAAGAGGAAAAAAGAAAAGACAATGTGAGACAAGAATTATATGTATATTTTGAAGAATTTCAGTACTTGAAATGCTTGAATTCTCTAAGGCTTCAAAATACGGTTTTGCAAATACATTATTTTAATGTATTTTTTTTTCTTTTTCATTTAGAATCCAAGTCTGATTTCAGCAGCAGTGGCTTACATGATGGTATGGATTTGAATCAGCATTTGAAAGGTGACTTTTAAATGTACTTACCTGTTTAAAAAATGTATAGTGTTTGTATGTTGTTGAGAACAATATAGGAATGCATTTAATGGAGGAGAAGATTAGGGATTTTTTTTTTAGCCAGGTAATTTGAACCCTAGTTTGCTATAGTGGGGTAGAGCTGGTGTGATTACAACTGTATATTGTTTCCCTACTTTACACCTTGCTACACTGAGCCTATAGTAAGGAAGATTTCAAAATGTTATATGCATCATTTAACTTTCCTGTGAATAGGAGTGAAGTTTTCACTTCCATGAAAATTCTGATTGTAAGAAAAACAAAGCTAGCCATGAAAACTGTGGTAGAGATTTCTTAACATTTGACAGTTCTTGTGTTACAAGAACTCCTTCCTGGTAGGAAAAGCTCCAACTTGCCGAAACATCACGTTACTAGGCAATTAAAGTTACAATGTCCTGCATCTTTATTTATTCCCTGATATGAAGAAACTACTTAACAACTGATGATTATGGAAGGATTCATCACATGCCTGAAATAAATGGTTATTATTGGTTTAGAGTAAGTATTTTCAGAGATGAATTGCTTTTTGGAGGAGGGGAGAATTTTTCCAGAACATAAACAAGTTGTAAATAACAGTAAAGATTGAGTAATGAGTAGTAGAGTTCTGTGATTGTACAGAGAAGACTGAGAGGGGATCTGATGATGTTTATAAATATCTGAAGTGCAGGAGGCAGCTGAATGAAGCCAGACTGTTGTCTGTAGTGACAGGATAAGGAGCAGTGACCCAAAAACATGGGAAGTTATGTGCTAATGTGTGGAAGATCTTCTTTACAGTGAGGGTCATGGAGTACTGGAACAGGCTGCTCACAGGGTTATGGTATCTTCCTTGGAGATATTCAAGACCTATCTGGATGCCTACCTGCATGGCCATCTGCATTAGCAGATGGGTTATCTCTGCAAGTCCCTTCCAACCCCTGCAATTCATAAATGATTTATATAATCTGGCAGTTAATTTCTTGATTAAGATGCGTATTGCTCCCAAGTGCCTTGCCTTGCTACCTTGGTGAGCATGCTGTAGGTTAATTAGCTTAGGTAGTTTGGACTTTAAATGGGGCAAGTTTATTGATGGTGGAAAGTAACTAGTCTGGGAAGTTAGGAGCTGATCTTATTCTTCACTATTATTTCCAGGTATTTTCTTGACAAATAGGAATCACTTCCCCCTCTTCCTTATGACTATCTTCATGAGATGTTTATCAGAACTGAAAAGACATGGGCATTGTTTCAAGTGACAAC